CGCCTCTTACTACAAGCATGGGTAACTGAAGACCAATTCTATCCCGGAACTTCACGGGTAACAGATTCTAACCCAGATCTTTATGGGTCGGACGAGGATGCAGTCGGACAAGTTTTAAGACCCATTTATGGAGTGAGTGGGTTGGATTTTACGTCGCCTTTGGCTTTAGCAATATTCCAGCAATGTCACGGCGGAGACACCAGAAATGGGCTTCACACATTGTACACATGTGGGGAATCGAAACCGGAACTTAGTCTCGACGAGCGAACGTTTTTAACGCCTAGGCTACCCCCACCATCTCCATGTTGGGAGTAGTTGATAAGCAGAACTGCAAATGCTGTTCTCGAAATTTCATAAGACTATTTTATCAAGTCACACAACCATGACGTCACCACAGGCGTGTTCGGGGTACACAACATATTATTCCACCGGCCAGATGAACATTCAAATTTAATACCCGAAATACTGGAAATATATCCAGGGGCATTTGCTAAACGTTGGAAAGTTTGAACTTAAATTACCATCTTATTTTCTTATTTTTCACCGAAGCAAGGTTCAAGCCGAACGTTGATACCCGTATCAAATACACAACTACAGAATAATCATCTTTTGTATGTTTAATTTTATCCAAATTAAGAATAGGTGTGTACGTTCTTAGAGTTCAGTCGGAATCTTACAATGCATTCTGCTTCAGTAAAGATTAAAGGGTTGTGTGGCTTGTATTTGACACAGACTGTGTTAGCTCATACCATGTCTGATTGTGGCTTGTCTTGACTGATTCTTGCATGCACAGGCTAAAACTCGAGTATCATTTCAACAATAAAACTATATTGTGTCAACCCGCCGTGATGTTGCTGGAATATTGCTGAAAGCGGTATAAAACCATACTTACTCACTCATTCACTCACTATATGATGGCAATGGCGATGCATATGTGAAGTATATATGGCATGAAATAATGGCAGACAAGAAATGAATAATAATAAGTTTGTTGTGATGGTTGTTTGTTTGTTGTTTTACGTCGCACTCAGCAATATTCCAGCTATATGGCGTCGATCTGTACATAATCGATTTCGGACCAGACAATCCAGTGATCAACATCATTAGCATCGAATCTACGTAATTGGGATACGATGACACGTGTCAACCAAGTCAGCGAGCCTGACCACCCGATCCCGTTTGTCGCTTCTTACGACAAGCATGGGTTATTGAAGACCAATAATTATTCTAACCCGGAACTTCTTGTTATGGAAGCCCATCAACAAATATTTTTGAAAGTTATACATGTTAACATGACATTTTTCACGTGCAAGTGTTGAGACATTGTACAATACACAATTCTAAGAGAGGCTAAATGAGAGAAAAGGACGTCATTTCGAACCCTTCAAGAAAATGTTAACATGAAACAAATAATTTATGCTGAACTTTAACCATATATTTTACTATCTTTTGCAGCAAACATTACCTTTGGTCTAAGATTTGCTCATGTTTAATCATTTCGAATAAATACCTAAACGTCTTTGGTCAACATTTCTCTGTGTTGTTTTAAATGAAACTGCAACATGCAAAAGTTTGTATGAATACAATTATATTACTTCATAATCATATTATAACACTTCTGACAACTTTCAAAATGATTTTAGAAATCTTTACATATCTGAACCTATAAAATATTTAGATATAAAGAGCCCTTCTCTGCTTCATTTTTGTTTTTGTCACTTCCAGTATATTTCTGTAGGACTCCATGTACTTGATTAAATTAAAAGCGACAAAACCCCTTCTGTAGTAATGAAGATTAACTGGTATATCATGAGTATGTGTTCATGAAACACTTAGATATAATGTTGATACCTTGATGATTTCACCATCAAAAACACACGCAAAGGCAAGAAAAATTGTTCACCTAAAAAGCAGGAAAATATGTTTCAAGTCGAAACAGCGAAATGCATCGGACATGATTTTCGACGCTGATAAGTCGGATTTAGAAATAACCTTCACATATCTAACCTTAATGTCCTTCAGAGCTTTGAATGCTGAAACCTGTATCAGATAACTTCTCAGCAAAAGTCGTATGGCGCTCTTTGAAATCGTGTCACATGTCAACAACAAATGCTGGAGCTGTTGGAATATTAATCGACTTAAAGGGGTTGATGACTGTTGGAAAGTTGGCGTCATCACTCTTGTCATACAGTCTTGTGGAGAGCGTTCTGTCAATCCGAATCTTTATCCATATATCTAAATGAGAAACAGACTTGGGGGTCTCACGGGTCTTCTTTATTTCTAGTTTAGGAGGGTAAATCAGTGGAAGGGAGTTGACTATTTTGATTGTTATGGAACGATAGGTGATATTTAACGACATCAAAGCAATTTATCAACAAAATGATGCGAATGTACGCGTGGGATGGGAGAGTTACGTCCCTTGACCTTGGACGTTAACCACTAAATATCTTGCAGATCACAGGGGCTTGTATTGCTGAAAATAATACAAGCCCCTGTAGTGCAGATATAATATCAGTTTTTCAAATCCGTTTCTTTTATAGCCTTTTCGACTAACAATGACCTTTTCACATTGGAGTAAGGGCATTAATCTGTTCATATATCAATAAGCATCTGGATTATCTTCAGCGAGAAGTGTACAAGTCCTGTACAACCACATGGCACGCGAAGGGCAAAGGTCGTTTGAGGACTGACTGACTGACTGAGTATGGTTTTACGCCGCTTTTAGCAATATTCCAGCAACATCACGGCGGGGGACACCAGAAATGGGCTTCACACATTGTACCCATGTGGGGATTCGAACCCGGGTCTTCGGCGTGACGAGCCAACGCTTTAACCTCGTTGGAGGAATGAATTTCAAAATATGTATCATAATATATATAGCATGATTTGAAACAAGCGCTCTAGAAATCAAATTTGAAAACACATTATTCCAGCATTAGGTAAAAGGGACATTTCAATATGGCTTTTGGGGATTTGGGGATTTCCATTGGGGGCTGAGGGTGAGCGAGGGGTACATAGGTAAACCAGCTGCTGTTCTGTCTAGGTCTTGACGTTGTGTTTGTTTGTTTGTTGTTTAACGCCACAATCGGCAATATTACAGTTACATGGCGGTGGTATGTAAATAATCGAGCCTGTACCAGACCATCCAGTGATCAACATGATGAACATCGATCTACGCAGTTGGGATACGATGACATGTGTCAACCAAGTCGAGCATAGCTGACCGATACCGTTAGTCGTGCATGGGTTGCTGAAGGCCAATCTAACCCGGATCTTCACGGGTTCGGTATTGTGACGATCATCATGCCTGATACTGGGTAAATGTTGGGCAACAGGAGCCATCATAATAACTATAAGACGAAGCATATCCGGAACACTATCTCCGTGGCTCAGTGGACAGAGTGTTAGACTGGACAGCGAAAAGTCGGTGTTTCGATCTTCCTGGACTGAGTCATAACAAAAGACGGTTGAAGAAGGTATGATGTTTTCCTAGCTTCCTGGAGCACGCCGTTTGGTAAAACAAGAAATGATCGGCTCTTGAGTCAGTATGCCGCATCTAAGTAGGACATCCATGTTAAAATGAGACATGGTATCTCATCAGTTGGGCTATTTAAATCATAAAAGCGGCATTAGCCAGGACACCAACACCAGAAACCGCCATAAATCTTTGAATTATTTTTCCAATCGTACAAATATAGTTTAAAGTTTTTAATAATTATTGCTTTTATTAAATGAATGATAAGATAACATTTCGGGGTTTCCACATTGCACACAAGACATGTTAGTGTTGGTGCAGTAAGTTGGGACAACGTTATTAAAACATTTTCTTCACTGAAAATATCGTCATTGCACTTGGTTTCCTGATATGATATGAACATGAAATACTATAATTCGACCTATCAATAAAATTACACGCGCAAACTCACATGCACACATAGGCACGCAGGGATGAGTATGTATGTACATATACTGGCAGCATAAGATGAAAACACACGCAGGAACATCTTGCCTGAAAACAGACACAGACTGAATCTCTGCAAACTTTCTGTCCACACAACGATGATTGCCGTAGCAACTACATAACAATAGAATAACATTTCTTGTTGGTTCCATTTTAGGTCACGACCAGAAATGGGTGTACCCTGTCTTCTTTCCAGTAACTATAATATGCATGTTTACATACGCAGCAATATATAATACATATACAGTCATAACATCTGCCTCTCAGTACAACAGAGGTGCAGATAAGCTGCGTATCCGAGTAAATTACGCAAGTATTATGTGAAAACTCAATTCCTATTAAGTCTAGTGCGTACAAGTACGCTTGAATTTTTGTAAATACTCAATAAATATGATCTTTCATGCGTACACACTAAAATGTGATGGAGGTTGCTGAGGATAGAGCTAATATCTGAGGTACACTGAGAGGTTCTATTTCAGCTCACGAACTTGGCAACTTGCAGTGTTCCTTGTCGTTTCTCATATTACAGATCAACTACAAATAACCAACACGTTAACTATAACATTTAAACTTTACTATATTTTTACAATTAATGGAAAATGGCAAAAATACCCAATTGAGTTTGAGTGAAGTGGGTACAATTTATTTGGTAACTCAAATGAAAATTAGGATACCCAATTGAGATAACAAAAGCGAGTACATAACTCAATGGCCCAAAATGTTATCTATAGCTCTAGTACATGTTCTAGTAATAATAATTTATTAACAGGCGCTGTAACAAAAGCAGCATAAAATGGTGTACATTTAGGGGTACGGCAAACAGATGGCCACACCTTGAGATGGTCTCATTTTTAACTCTCACACAGATAATATAAACTGATTCATTGGTAAAAGCCCATATGCACTACTCAAAGCGGGTTAAAGAACAGCAAAGTTAGCATGTCACGTCAAGTTGATACGGATTCACTCAGATCTGAGAACCGTTTTTGGTATCAAAATGCAATGAACTCTCCCTTACAACAACAGGTCCCTAGTTATCAAAATGGCTGCCACCAGTAGAATCTATCCAAGAAGTAACGGTATAATCTTTTCTGTGATTCTGCAAACACGACCAGCTATACTTTGATTAATTCATGTGTTTTGAAGACATCATAGTATGCTTTGTCGTATTTAGGTATTTAAAAGAGCCGTGCAACCGAAATGGTCCATAAACCAAAGTTCGTAGTGTCTGATGCTTTTATGCAGAAATGTTCAGTTTTCGTTCATTGAGATGATAATCTGTGTGTACGGGTGCACCATGTTATTGTAACCTAGATACACTAGTGTTACCTCTTCTTCGATTGTGGTATATATAGACATATCTCTTGGGTTTAAATCGGTCACACTTGTCACATATAACTTGAACAGCAGCCATAAACAGTCTGTAAACATGCCACATCTCGTGGATTCCTGTCATTCCAACCAAGATCAATCTGACCTAAGTTTCATATTAAATAGCTCATTTTTTTCTCATCAGCAGTAATATTGTAAGTTTGAGCATATATATCCCAGGGCTCCAGATAATTTTTAATGACCAAGAGTACGTACTCCTTATTTTTTCTATATAGGAGTACTGGAAAACAATAAGAGTACATTTAGAGGACTGAATGGGATTTAATGGCGTATCAGTAATCTTGTGTTTCGTTTCATATATGCACCACAACATTGCTACTCTTTAGTAAACAGGTCAGTAGACAATAAAACAATACTTTTTCAGATAAATACGTCTGTAAATGATTCTGAAACCGTACACCATTGCTGTGGTCCGTATCTGTTACGTTTTTATATTTGTTTCCTACCGTATCGTGCATATTTTATATCCGTACATACACCGATACGGCCCTTATCTTGAGCCCTGTATATCCCTTATTTTACCTTTTCTGTTCATACTTTTCATTGGTAATTGTAAAACTATTTTTATGTAGGAAGGCTTTTCCTAGGAGACGTACCTATATCCCAATAATATGGATTGAGCAACAACAATGCAGTTGAGAAGGCTCAACCAGAGACCATATACTAGTAATAGATAATAATATAGGTCTCTGGCTCAACATACAACATGTACAAAGCTCTGTCACTTCACAACCACAGATCTTGTGCGTATCATTGGTTGCTAGAGTTGATGGTATTCAGGCTAGGGTAGGTTACCCCTAACTCTATCCTTAGCCCTTTCTGGGCAAACACTTGCTAATCAAAAACCCCTTTGCAATCCTTAGGAACCTTATTACAATCTTTGGGGGTAGTTTTGAGGTAGGGTATTGGCTGCTAACATCTTTTTGAATGAATCCAGTTTAATTTGAGGAAACTCAGAACAATTTTTATTAAGTTTCATGAGAATATGGTGTTAATTATCTGTAAAAGTACCTGCCGTCCAGTGCTTAGGTTAGTTGATATTATTAACTCAGCTACAAGCTAAAATTACATCTAAAGCAGGGAAACTAGTGTGTTAAATCCTAGACCAAACTATGGCACCAGGAGAAGACAATTTAGCATGTCAACACAATCCAACACCCTCAGATTTTGCAACACTTTTCATTATGGCAGCAACTCAGACCAATGATATGGCACTTTAAAAAACAATTCGTTGACTTTCCTTATCAGATGTTGAGTGGTGTATTTCTTCAAAAAGAATACAACAGATAGTGTCTACTGTTACCATTTATTCTTTAGGACTTCTTGATGGCTAACATTGTCATGATTATACATTTGTTTTTCTTTCAGGTGATAAAATATCTGCCTATGAGAAAAGGGAAATAAGAAGAAGAATTCGCAAATTACAAGACACAATATCTGAAAACAAGATTGAACTAGTCAAAGAAATAATAGCTGGAGACATTGATGTTGATTTTTACTACAGAGGCCAAACGGCATTACAGCTAGCAGTCCGAGAAGGCCACTTTGAAATATGCCGTCTGCTAATAGACAAAGGGGGCAGACGTCAACAAAACAGATGCAGAAATGAACTCACTACTGAACAGTGCATGTTGGAGAGGTCATGGGAATATTGCACAGTTGCTCATAGAAAACAGAGCCGATGTTGACCTTTGTAATGATAATGGCGCGTCACCATTGAACGTTTGTGCCCTGAAAGGCCGACAGGATATCTTGAGGTTCTTGATACAATCTAATTGTGACCTTGATATTCTGAACAGTCGTGGTCAGACAGCATTGTTTACATCAGTGCAGCAGGGAAATGTTGAAATCGTGAAGATTCTTCTTGAGGCTGGGTGTAGTAAAAACACCAGTGATCACTCCAACAGAACCCCTCTGATCCTTGCAGCTAGTCAAGGGGATGTTGAAGCAACCCACATCCTCCTGCAGTCAGGTGAGTGAGAGACTAGATGTTGTTTCTTTCTGTCTTTCTTTTACACTGCACTCAGCAAGATTCCAGCTACACGATAGCAGTCTGTAAACCAGACCGGACAATCCAGTGATTGACATCATGAACATTATCTACACAATTGGGATACAATGACATGCATCAACCAAGTTAGTGAGGCTTGATCCTGTTTTTCGCCTCTTACAAAAAGCATGCTTTACAAAGACAAATTCCTACCCAGATTTTAACAAGAAGAATATTGTTATCTAAGGACCCTGATTGGGTAAAGTGTTTAGCATAAAACAATTTCCTTAAATAAAAGATGAGTCAATTTTTTTATCTTAAAAATTTAACATATGATGGCTGTTAAAATCTACTTTTAGCGTAATTTATAATTTTATCATGTTTAGTATTTATCTTTAAAGACTCAACAAATTCAGGTCAGTTTTTGTTTTTTGAAAAACACAAATCTCATTAAGGACACAAAAGCAGAACCGGCTGTCCCCATGATTCCATGAGGACAAAAACAAAGAAGACACACATTCTCATTGCAATGACTTCACGTTGTAGATTCAGCGTGTAAGCAAATCAGCTATTCATGTGCTTTATTGACTGAAAAGGCTAGGAAATATTGACTCCAGACTAAAGGCCCAAATGTGAAGTGTGACCATGCTCAAGTGAGGAATAGCCTTACCATGGTGGAGGCCCATCTTCAAGTGGTAGACTGCCCCAGTCCTATGTGGTTGAATCTCATAGTCTTTCACAGCTTAAAGTACCCTAACTCATGTTTGGGCAACTAACTGCATCTGGTGGTTAGGCTTGGTTGACACATGTCATCATATCACAATTGCATGGATCGATGTTCATGCCGTTGATCATTGGATTATCTGGTCCAGGCCCAATTATTTACAGAACGCGGCCATGTATCTGGAATATTGCTGAGCATGGCGTTAAACTAAACTCACTCACATAAAGTACCCCTCAAGATCCATAAGATATTTGAGTGTTGTTCGATTGTTACATGTATATGGGTGTAAGAGCAGATAAAGCATTTCTGCAATTTTGCTGACCACATAGTTCTAGTGTTCATACAGTTTTGCCGTCACTATGCAACTAGTCATGCTCCAGTAAATCCAAGTGAACAAAGTGAATAATAAGGGTAACCCCTAACATGTTTTCAATTCCCATTACTCTGTGCAGGAATTCAAATCAGACTGTTTTTGAACATTTAATCTCATTTGTTACCATAGATGTGTAAAATCAGTGTAGTGTCATACATTCATTATGTTAGTATTAATTTTCTTTAGAAATATGAATAGCAGTAGTCTTGGCTTAGATAAGGGAAAATGTCTCTAAATGCTGCTAAAAGGTAGGGCCACTTCAACTGAATACTGCATTCCACATAACTTGAATTATGTATGAAATCTTAGATCATTGTAATTGTAAGTAAGGAAAGAATCCTATAATACAATTTTTTCTCTTTTTTTCAGCAATGTTGGTAAAAGTGAATTCTTCAAAGAAAATGTCATGTTTCAAAGGATTCCATTTTCAACAGACTTATCATGCTCATGCTCAACTTTTCAGGCTGTGACATTAACCGACAAGACCGACTTGGTCAGACTGCCTTGTATCACTGTGCATCTCAAGGTCACTTAGAGGTAGCCATGGCCCTCATTAAAGCTGGAGCAGACGTCAACCTAGCCACCATTAAAGGATTCTCTCCTCTTCTTGGTAGGAAAATGTAGTGAAATAGTGTGTGTTGTTTGATTTGGTCTTTGGTTAGACCTTGAGATGTTTTAGTTATGGGAAGAGTAAGTGAGTTTGCTGTTACCCTCATGTTTGACAATATTCAAAGCAGGGAAGCCAGAAATGTGCTTCACACGTATACCCATTGGGGATTTGGAATCCAGGTCTTTGGCATAACAAGCAAAAACTTAACAACTATGCTACATCAACACTCATGTAGGATAAAAGGGAAAAGATGAACCTTTCCACATGTGAGTCTATTTATATATTTTATGTCTTTATTTTGCTGACATTGCAAAATACATATAAAAATGGATGTTAAAAGTAACAAACAAGAGGCTTTGTGTTTGGTATTGTTACAACCAGGTCAATACATTTTGAAGACTGCAGTCCAACCTAATTTAAATGCAATAAATGTTTCAACAATCATGATGATCATAGCGTTCTTGCTAATTTTCAGAAATGGTTGCTTGGATACTTAATATAGTATAAACGGCTTAGCGGCTGAAACCGATTGGTTGATAAATCATGCTGCAAGTGCCAACAGTATTGCAAAGTCTGAATATACTGAAAGAAATTTATATTCATCAAGAAGTTTGTTTAAGGAGACAGTCAAGTTCTTGTCCAGCAATTCTCCCACCAAAGTTAGATTTCTGTAATCATTTACATTTTTGTAGCAACCAAATCTGTGTAATGAATTCTCATGTAATATGACTATCATCTAGCTTCAGCTCACACTGCTAGATGACCCTCACAGACAGAATTTGTTGTAATCATATTAATATAGCCAAAGCAATTTCGAATGAAGTTCCAGTATGTTCTTTTGTTTTGTCAGTGTTTGCAGGATGACTTTTATTTGATAATGACCTCTTGTTGTGGTGCTCTCTTTTCAGATTCCATTCGAAACAATCACATTGAAGTAGCAAAGGCGTTGATAGAAGCCAGGTGTAATATCAACTTGAAAGACAGGCTTCATCATGCCCCTATACATGAGGCCATCAGACAAGGTAAGTCCTTTACATGAGGCCATCAGACAAGGTAACTCCATTACCTGAGGCCATCAGACAAGGTAAGTCCTATACATGAGGCCATCAGACAAGCTAAGTCCTATACATGAGGCCATCAGACAAGGTAAGTCCTTTACATGGGGCCATCAGACAAGGTAAGTCCTCTACATGAGGCCATCAGACAAGGTAAGTCCTTTACATGAGGCCATCAGACAAGGTAAGTCCTTTACCTGAGGCCATCAGAGAAGGTAAGTCCTTTATATGAGGCCATCAGACAAGGTAAGTCCTTTACATGAGGCCATCAGAGAAGGTAAGTCCTTTACATTAGGCTACTTGCGGACATAAGGATCAAGACAAATGAAAACTTATCTTTAGTGATGATATATTTAGAAGGTATTGAACAGACAGTGTATATTCAATCTCTTACCTCCAAATACAGACTTGATATCAGTTGCTGAAAACTTCTTTTATTATTCCGTCAGTGTCCCAGTATTTTGGAGATCCAGGAAAGCCGTCCATCAACATTGTCGAGCTGCTGGTGTCGGCTGGAGCAGACCTTAGCATCTGTGACAGCGAGGGCTGGACTCCACTCTACCAGGCTGCGTCCAGTGGAGACCTTGGTCAGTGGCGGTCAAACTCATGTCATAGTCATAGTAACAGTCAGTGTTATAGTAATTGTCAGTGTTATAGTAATGGTCAGTGTCACAGTAATTGTCAGTGTTATTGTAATTGTCAGTGTTATAGTAATGGTCAGTGTTATAGTAATTGTCAGTGTCATAGTAATGGTGAGTGTCATAGTAATGGTCAGTGTTATAGTAATTGTTAGTGTTATAGTAATGGTCAGTGTCATAGTAATGGTCAGTGTTATAGTAATGGTGAGTGTTATAGTAATGGTGAGTGTTATAGTAATGGTGAGTGTTATAGTAATTGTCAGTGTCATAGTAATGGTGAGTGTCATAGTAATGGTCAGTGTTATAGTAATTGTTAGTGTTATAGTAATGGTCAGTGTTATAGTAATGGTCAGTGTTATAGTAATGGTCAGTGTTATAGTAATGGTCAGTGTTATAGTAACTGTCAGTGTCATAGTAATGGTCAGTGTTATAGTAATGGTCAGTGTTATAGTAATGGTGAGTGTTATAGTAACTGTCAGTGTCATAGTAATGGTCAGTGTCATAGTAATGGTCAGTGTTATAGTAATGGTGAGTGTTATAGTAATGGTCAGTGTTATAGTAATTTTTAGTGTTATAGTAACTGTCAGTGTCATAGTAATGGTCAGTGTTATAGTAATGGTCAGTGTTATAGTAATGGTCAGTGTTATAGTAATGGTTAGTGTTATAGTAACTGTCAGTGTCATAGTAATAGTCAGTGTCATAGTAATGGTCAGTGTTATAGTAATTGTTAGTGTTATAGTAATGGTCAGTGTCATAGTAATGGTCAGTGTTATAGTAATGGTCAGTGTTATAGTAATGGTCAGTGTTATAGTAATGGTGAGTGTTATAGTAACTGTCAATGTCATAGTAATGGTCAGTGTTATAGTAATTGTCAGTGTCATAGTAATGGTCAGTGTTATAGAAATTGTTGGTGTTATAGTAACTGTCAGTGTCATAGTAATGGTCAGTGTTATAGTAACAGTCAGTGTTATAGTAATTGTTGGTGTTATAGTAACTGTCAGTGTCATAGTAATGGTCAGTGTTATAGTAACAGTCAGTGTTATAGTAATTGTTGGTGTTATAGTAACTGTCAGTGTCATAATAATGGTCAGTGTTATAGTAACAGTCAGTGTTATAGTAATGGTCAGTGTTATAGTAATGGTCAGTGTCATAGTAATGGTCAGTGTCATAGTAATGGTCAGTGTTATAGTAACTGTCAGTGTCGTAGTAATGGTTAGTGTTATAGTAATGGTCAGTGTTATAGTAATGGTCAGTGTTATAGTAATGGTCAGTGTCATAGTAATGGTCAGTGTCATAGTAATGGTCAGTGTTATAGTAATGGTCAGTGTTATAGTAATGGTCAGTGTCATAGTAATGGTCAGTGTTATAGTAATGGTCAGTGTTATAGTAATTGTTAGTGTTACAGTAATGGTCAGTGTTATAGTTATTGTTGGTGTTATAGTAACAGTCAGTGTTATAGTGACTGTCAATATTACAGACAAGGATAGGTCACATTTATAGTCAATGACAGTGCTAATCACATACACAGACAGTCACAGTCATGGATTGTCACAGACAGCTAGCTGAAGTATACTTACATATCTCAACTAACAACTACTGTAACCTACAATCTGTCCATGTATTTTCAGTGTCAGTTGGTAACCAGTGTTTCATAAGATAATGTTTGTTAGGATTCCTTCATCCCTATCATTTAGCTCAGGAATCAACAACTTGTCTTCAACAAAGAGTTTCCATGCATTGTTAAAATCTTTTAATCTTTTGTAGAAATAACAAAATTGTTGTTAAACAACGGTGCATCCTTGGAAGTGTCCACAACAGCAGGGGAGACAATCCTACATGGCGGCGTGTACGGAAACAACCCAGACATAGTTGAACTGCTGATCCAGTCAGGTGGGTCGCTCTGTGTCCACTGAAAACAAGGAATGTCCATATTTCAAACCCAACTAATTGTAGGCATCATCAGTTCTGTGAAGATTTGGTTAGAATTAATCTTCAGCAAATCATGCCCCTTGTAAGACTAACAGCACTGGGTGGGCAGATGTGCTGACTTGTTGGATGCTTGTCATCGATTACCATTTGTCTAGATCCATACTCATGATCTAAGCCGATAGATGTCTGATCCAGACTTGATTAGGTATTTGCTGACACTGTCATAAAACTGAAATATCGCTGAGTGCAGCATTAAAAATCAAAGTAAACCAACTTCAAAAGTGTCATGTTATATAATTATTTTATGATGACAACTGAAATTATTAATCCCACTGAATGATAAGAGGGTATGAGATAAGAGGGAATCAATATGAGCTGTTACCAGGAACGATTCTAAGATGACAAAAAAAAACACCATCAAATAATTCAGTGAAATGACATTCCTTGTGTATTAGTTTGTTGCAACCAAAATTAAAGAATTCAGCAATTTGTGAAAAATTTACATTAGTTTTGCAACAAAGTGTGATATCAGAATCATCCTCTTGCATAGAAGCTTATACGCATGCTTTAACTGGATAGCATGAGAAGTAAAATCGCCTGAACGGTTACTGATGGACCACACCTTTATGTCTGTATGTCCTTATTCTTACTGCTTTGAATTTCAATAGGTTGCAAGGTCAACCAGGTGAACTCCCAAGGTCAACACCCTCTCATGGCAGCTGTAATGTCAAGGTCACATCTAACGGTAGGTTTTGTTCCACAAAGCTAAGACAAACAAATCTTGATATTGGTACAACTTGCTAAATGCATAAATAAACACATGTTATTGATTCCATTGTTCAACTTATTGACTGTCAATGGTAATACATGGGAGAAATATAGATATGTATGTAACCCTGTAAGCCCAGTTGAATTACACCTTTGTACTTGTGTTATATAAATGGTCTTCTTTCAGATTGTGAAGGCTCTGATTGCAGCTGGTAGTGACTTGAATCTCCCGGAGAACAATGAGCAGCTAAGCCCTCTCCATGCCACCGTCCATCACCACCACCATGAGGCTGCCATCTTGCTAATCAACGCAGGTAAATCTTCCAACAAGTTGTATGTGACAGTGTTTTAATGACAGAGTATATAGCAGGTGTCTTGTGTACCCCACTGTGATATTGCTGGAATATTGCTAAAATCAGCATAAAACCATACTCACCCATCATTTTTCACTGAATTCCATTTATTTCAAAGACAGGGTACTGGGGGCCAGTGCTTCAAGTCATGATGAGTGAAAAGAAACCTGATTGAGGTTTGAATCCCAGTTATGTTTCACCAACAACACCATGCCTCTGATCAAGTTTTTCGTAAATGTGGTGATTATGTCTGAGATCTGGTATATGACTTTGGACTGTCCCTTCACATCAAGGTGACAAGCCATGATATGACTGGGATACTGTTTACAGCAGTGTTAAACCCAACTCGCTCGCTCATTCGCTTGCTCATTCACTCACTCATGAACAATCACCCACAACAATCAGTGAATAACACTCATGAACAATCACTCACTCAAGGACAATCAAGAACATTCACGAACAATCGCTCACTCATAAACAATTGCTCACTCACTCAAGAACAATCAATCAAGAACAATCAATCATGAACAATCAATCATGAACACCCTCAAGAACAATCAATCAAGAACAATCCATCAAGAACACCCACAAACAATTACTTATGAACAATCACTCCCTCACAAACAATAACTCACTCATTAATAATAACTCGCTCACGAACACTCACTCACTCAAGAACAATCAATCAAGAACACTGGCTCACTCATTAACAATTACTCACTCAAGAACAATCAATGAATAACACTCATGAACAATCAATCACTCATGAACAATCACTCATGAGCAATCACTCACTCAAGGACAATCAAGAACATTCACGAACAATCGCTCACTCATAAACAATTGCTCACTCACTCAAGAACAATCAATAAATAACACTCATGAACAATCAATCACTCACTCATGAACAATCACTCATGAACAATCACTCACTCAAGAACAATCACTCACTCAAGAACAATCAATCACGAACAAACAATCACGAACACCCACAAACAATTACTCATGAACAATCACTCATGAACAAACAATCACTCATGAACAATCACTCACTCGCTCAAGAACAATCAATCAAGAACAATTAATCAAGAGCACCCACAAAAAATTACTCATGAACAATCACTTACTCATTAATAATCACTCACTCAAGAACACTTACTCAAGAACAATCAATCAAGAACACCCACAAACAATTACTCATGAACAATCACCCACTCACAAACAATCACTCACTCATTAATAATAACTCGCTCACGAACACTCACTCACTCAAGAACAATCAATCAAGAACACTGGCTCACTCATTAACAATCACTCACTCAAGAACAATCACTCACTCAAGAACAATCAATGAATAACACTCATGAACAATCAATCACTCACTCATTAACAATCAATCACTCACTCATTAACAATCAATCACTCATGAACAATCACTCACTCAAGGACAATCAATGAATAACACTCATGAACAATCAATCACTAACTCATGAACAATCAATCACTCACTCATTAACAATCACTCACTCAAGGACAATCAAGAACACTCACAAACAATCACTCACGAACAATCACTCACTCACTCATAAACAATTGCTCACTCACGAACAATCACTTACTCATGAACAATCGATCAATCAAGAGCAATCACTTAAGGTCCACAATACAAAGTATACTGAAGACACTGCCTTCTCCAGGTTGTGACATCAACAGCGTCAACAGTCGAGACCAGACCCCACTACACAATGCGTGTGAAAAAGGCAAGACAGACATTGTAGCTCACATCCTGAAGCAGCCCCATCTCAACCCTGATGGTATCAAGTCGACCGCCCTCCCTCTCCATGCAGCAGCTGTCAACGGCCATGTGAACATCGTTCAGATGCTGCTAGAGGCCAAGTTTAACATCAACCAGGTCAACATTAAGTTTAATTCCACACTCAGTAATGTTAGAGCTTTCTCACGGCAGCTTAGAGCTTTTATGTGTCGGGTAACTGTTAATTTATAACAGTAGTGGAAATCTAAAAAGTTGGATTTTAATCACCCAACCATCATTTTGGTCTGAAACAGTCAACCGTTTTGGTTTTTTTTTTGACAAATTATATTTAACATGATATATTTCATAACAGAGATATGGTTGTTTCTATGCTGTGAGTGACAATAAATATTTTACGTGAAATGGAAGAGGTGTAATAATGAACTATCCAATTATTTTCAGCTCAGTGATGGCGGCCTCACTGCATTGCAAGCTGGAATTCAGGAAAACAAATACTCGGTGAGCAAGACCTTGTTGCAATATGGCTGCGATGTTGACGCCCATGCCAAGGTGAAGCGACTTATGAAGTGTTGTCTGCTTCAGGATGACGCACATCCACACTTTGCCCTTGAACCCCTCTTCCTGGCCTTGACCCACAAGGACCTTGACCTTATGCAGCTGCTGCTTCAGTTCTACATCCATATACCCTACAAGGTCATTAAAATGCTGAATCATATTCTCAAACAGTCCCAAGAACTTAGGTTCCATTACAGTGCCCAGAGCAAGAAGAACATCCTTGAGTTCTTCTCTCAAGCTTTGAAACAACCCAGACTCCTCCAGGAGGTCTGTCGATGCAACATCAGAGCAGTGTTGGGGTCATGGCCACAGGTCAAGGTCACGACCTTACCCATTGCAAATAAACTGAAAAATTACGTTTTGATGACAGACACTTTCTTGACATTGGAGGAACAGGAAAAGCTAGAAGAGGATCAGCTTGATCAGAATGGGTTTGTCACTGTGTGAAGGGCTGGCCGACACTTGTCTATGGTGCTAATTACTGTTGTAGATTTTCTGGTGCTCAAGCCCAGCACATTATACCCTGGCAAAGTACTTAGGTCGTTAGACCAAGATATATGATGTGTGATGTTATCATGTGGGCTGGCTGAAACCCGTATCAGTTTCTCTTTTCTTCAAATTTGGATCACATACATGTATCATCTTTCCTTGCGAAAACAGGGGCCACATGTGGCCGAGTCATCGTGGGCACTGCAGTTAGCTGTATAGAGTTGCTTGCGAGGAAACAATTACTGTGGGTTCAAATCCAAGTTCGGAAAGTGCTAAACATGTGAGACCTTCAGGACTTTGGGCTTCCCTTCGACATTAATCTGTGACACCATGATGAAACAGAAATTCTATTGAAAGCAGTGTTCACAAAGCTTACATGCCATCATGTAACTTAAGTGCTGTTAAAATCAACCGAAAACCAAACTCAGTCACTTACACACTCAGTCACTCAATGCTAAAATTCAGAAGTCAAAAAGTGTGTCAGTCTGTTGCTACAAGACAGTCACAAAGAGACGGTCACAAAGTATGAAGTCTGATAGCACAGATACGTGACAGTTCTGGCTGCTCTGTACAGTTCATACCATCATGTACCAGTTATCCTCAAGAACTCCGCATCATCATACTGCCATGTCCTACCCAGACAGTGGATGAATCCTGGCATCTGACCGTTTCCGTAGAACTTCATGTACTCAAGAGAAGACAATGTCATCATATAGCGCTTCTGACTGTACCTTGTATCCATTGTTCATGTTGTGTAATTGTTGATATCTATCACTTGTCACCTTGTATGACCATCGCCTGTAATACTTACGTTGCCAAAATGACTCTTAGGAGTCTACAAAACAGCCTAAGATCATGGAGTCTCTCGATCAACATCAGATCAGCCAATCAGTGTGGATGCTTCCCAATCCTTGGTGAGCAAAACGTTTGGAGCTGCATATATGATTTCTGTATGTTGAAAATGAAAGTAATTCAGATTGTTATGGATATTTAAACCCAGCTGTTACTTAGAGTTGTGATCTGCATTTTGAAATGTGTGCTTTATAATGGGAACATTTGGTTTCATGTGAATGTTGTTTATCTGAATTTAGGATGATAGATATGTATGTATTTAGTAATTCAGCTTCTTGGCCTGGAGAACAATTGTAGGTTGGCTGAATCAGTCACCTGGTGTATAATACAGCAATATTTACAATTTACATTTACATCTCAGAAGAAATACATTTTTAAGAAACATGGTCAATGCTTGTAAAGTGTCCTGTTTGTATTTAATATATTACACAAGAGAGTTAATAGAGATAACATCAGAAAGGGTTTGAAGATATGTTAATCTTAGGTCATGATACTTTTTACAAAATATACCAAACGTGGAACTCATCTTCCTTAACCCAAAGATGACATTGCAGACATAAAGATTTTTGTACAAGGTTGGGTTTTTTTCAATGTAGATTACTGATACTGCAATCGTGAAGAGATATCCTAAATTTACATAAACATTGGTGGCTGTTGATTATGTTATTGAAGATTGTCTTAACCTTGAATCATTCATCAAATGATTCATCAAATGATTCAAGGTTAAGGTGGAGCAGTGGATTAGCCTAGTGGTTAAAACATTTGCTCGTCATGCCAAAGACCAGGGTTTGATTACCCACATGGATACAGTGTGTGAAGTCCATTTCTGGTGTCCCCTGCCATGATATTGCTGGAATATTGCTAAAAGTCACGTAAATCCATACTCACTAACTCACTCGAATGGCATCTATAATATATTGTGGTTTTGTTTTGTTTGATGTTAAGCACCCCTTTCAGCAATAGCCCAGCTATGTCAGAGAGGCCAGTAAATAATCAAATCCAGTGATTAATATCATGAGCACCATCCATACATCTGAAGTAAGGTGAGGCTTCATCAACCAAGTCTGACCATCTGAGTCACCTCGTTGTGTTCTGTATTAGGTTCCCAGCATTCTCTTCCCACAGAGGTTACTTGTCATATCTTCCTACGATGCTTTGTTCTAATACGGCCATATTTCCTGGTTCTCGTAAAATCCCCGATCGGCCAAAAATCGCAACACAAATTATCTCCCTTCTTTCTATCCAATCAGAACACATGTTACATCGACTTAGATCCAACTTGACTAATGCAAGCAAATGTGGGGCCACAAATATTCCTCCTCTGTCGGAGACTTTTGTTTATGTGACACACAAGACATTTAATGGCTAGCTTGTCCGTTTTCAAGAGGGCGATGGAGACGCCATTGATCCGCTATTACATGACTGAGTTCTGTCTAGAAGAAACATTTGCGGGGAAGAGATTCTAGTTTTCCCGAAGCATACGGAAATTACCGAGTCCTTGCGAATGATCACTTTTGAAACAACGCTGCTGATTGCACAACTAAATCTGATTGCAACCAATCACGAATCCTGAACACTCGCACCATGAAAGGGTCGTATTAGAACAGAGGTTCGTAGGAAGATATGACAAGTAACCTCTGTGGGAAGAGAATGGGTTCCCAGGGACCTACAATTACAAGGGCTCCCCATAGGGTATATTGTACTAAACAAATATGGCTGTCCCAGCCGTGGTCTTACCGTGGTGAGGGAACGTTCTGACCACTACTGGAATGAGTGGTAAGCATTCAGTGGGGCCTCAGATTGGAGGGTGTGAGATATCACCAGTTGAAAGGTCCTGCATATAATAAGATTGAACCCCCTGTTGACCAGTTTAGTATTACATCCTTGATTATTTCCAGGGCTTTTATTTTGACACATAAATTTCTATCTTCAAGACTCAAAATGAGTCAAGTGGAACTGTTTCACAGCTCATTTTGCACTAGTGGTTTCTGTAAAAAACATAGTTTTGGGAGAAAAAGCAGTCTTATATTTTTATTATCTGAGAACAACAATCTAATCATTCTGTTGTATCCCCATGTTGTATTCCCCAAATACCACTTGTGACAGCGTGGTATTTGTTTCGATGTTGTAAATACCATTATATTTGATGTTTAGGGACTGTTCATAATTCATGGCTTTTTTGTTGGGTGATGATGATTTTAAGGGGAGGTCACCCATTTTGTTCTGGGGAGGGGGTCGGGGGTCATCAATTTTGTACACATGTACTAGGGGGGTCATCAATTTTGTACATAAAATATTAAAAAATTATTCTTAAAAGTTATGGGTAGGGGTCATTGATTTTGTACATGATATGCAAGGGGGTTCACTTACTTTGTACGTAAATTTAGGGGGGGGTGTTTATTCACATTGTACATGCTTCTGCATAAAAATCATCAGCCCCCCCTTGCCATAAATTATGAACGGTCCCTTACTGTTATCCAGTCAGTTTTACTGAAAGCTATCCAAGGGAGATAACTTACACCATTTCTACTTACCTCATGACAACTCTACTGCAATTGTTGGCATGCAGCTGAGACAGTCTAATCACTCTTTGTTGTTGTTGTCCTAGTTGGTCAGATTTCAAACTGGGAAGTTTTTATTAAAAAAAATTAAATTTCATTGGTAATTTGATCCTGTTTCCCTAATTATCCCTGTATATTTTCATTGATCATTTTTGACATTTCACATTTGAATTTTTGTGACATCATAGCTGCATTGTTGAAGTTTCATCATGCGCTGATTGACAGAGCCTCCTGCAGCAATATATTTCAGTTGATAGGTTCCCAGTCTGAAAATGATTAAATTAAAAATTATTCCAGTTGTTGAACAGTAAGGATTACTTTTGGAATGTTCATAATAAATGTTTTTTCAAAAGTTTTTGTGTTTTATGTTTCTGATATACAAATCATTTACAGACTCGCTTTGTAGGTATCATTAATAGGTTATAAAAGTATTATTATAGTATGACCAGAAATTATTGAGAATTTTAGGAATATGTTTATTTGGATTTCTAGTATAAACAACCTTGGCCAGCTATCAAGTGCTTGGTTTCATTCAAGAGAGACAACTCTGTTAATCCTTTTTCATTAGTTTGTGAAGAGTTATCCCCCCTTTGTTTACTTGCTAGCAGACATTTTCAGTGATCCTCAGTATGGATGATTTAGAGAAGAGGAAGTTGATTTTAGAGTATTATAACAAGGACATCAGATCAGCTAAAGTGATTTCAAGTAGAACAGGCATCCCTTTGTCCACTGTTTATCGTGTTTTCAAATATATTGCAAATGGATATGGCATTTAGCACCAGGGAGGCGCAGGTAGGCCCAAAAAATTAACTGTCGGTGACAGGAGGCAGCTTGGTATTCTTGTTTTTAAAAACAAACGAAGGAGTTTAGAAAACTTAAGGCTGGATATGATTGATAGAGGAACTGTGGCTGTCTGTAAGGAGACAATTAGAACTGAGCTGCATGCAATGGGTTGGCAGAAAAGTCGAGGAATTCCATCACCGATCATGAAACCTGAACAAAAGGAGCGAAGGTTGACCTGGTGCTTACAGCATAGAAATTTTAACTGGGACATATGAAAGTTCTGTGTGGCTGTTTCCTAATACACTGAAATTCTGGACAAACTGAAAAACCTTTGTATCAGCGCCCAAAGTACAGTCCGAAATTTAACATGTCTTGGGTGGCATATCTGTGTTAGGGGCAACGCCCCTCTGTGTATTTGAAGGGAATATGAACAGTGAGCGGTACACAGATATTCTCTAGGGACATTTACTTCCATCTGCTCACATGTTCTATGGAAATGTTTGGATTTTCCAGCAGGACAACGACCCAAAACAGGCCTGGTTTCGGACCCAAAATATGACATTATTAGATTGGCCAAGCTATAGCCCTGACTTAAATCAAATAGAAAATGTTTGGGGACTTATGAAGGAAAGTGTCAATAAGAAATATCTGACAAATATTTCTGAAATGAAAGAAGAGGTGGTCCGATATTGGGACAGCATGGACCACGACTTTCTAACTTCTTTGATCAGTAGTATGCCCCGCCGCATTGAAGCCTGCATTGCTACCCATGGTGACTTGACAAAATACTAACTGTTCACCTGTCTTTGAATAAGGAGTTATGTTCTGCTAATATTCACATTTAATACGTGAGTAATGAGTGAAAAAAATACACAAATTTACAATCTTTAAATTCTCAATAATTTCTGGTTGTACTGTAAATATTGATGTACGTGGAATTATTTTCTTACCTCCATTGCTATGATCAGAATTGTTTTGTTTACAATTGATAAACCGGATTAATGTAATCCATGGTAATGCGATAACTGAACAAGAGTCAGTTGGGATGTTTGCATCTCAAAGTAGTATCAAAGCCTGATATTGTGCAGCTCTAAAGGACTTGCCACTTTGGTGAAACCCAGGACGAAATTTTCTATTCATCCAGTGTTCCGTGTCCATTTCAGTCTCTTCTGAGTTGGCATGTTGTCTGATACCACACACCACAATCGGCAATATTTAAGTTCTTGGTCTGTGGCAGCTGCTTATATATAAAGCCTTACAAATATTTTGCTTGGTTTACAGATCTGCCACACAAAAGGAACATTCACAAAAGGAACAAAATTTCGAGTGGCAAAGACTTGATGATGAATTTGGCATGACCATATTTTCATTCTCAATGCCCATAAACCAAAGTCTAAATTATGTCTGGCCAATTTGAGACTCCATCAGAAAGCCCAGCTATTGGCATCATGAGCAAATTCAAAGGGAACAACAGCACACGATAGCACAGCACAGCGGTAGGGTAGCCTAGTGGTTAAAGCATGCGCTCGTCACGCCAAAGACCCAGGTTCGATTCTCCACATGGGTGCAATGTGTGAAGCCCATTTCTGGAGTCCCCTGCCGTGATATTGCTGGAATATTGCTAAAAGTAGCGCAAAACCATACTCACAGCATGATGGCACATAATCAGGCCACGATGTCACACATGGCAGGATAGCACACAATCAGAGCACAATGGCATACATGGCAGGATAGCACACTATCAGAGCACAATTGCACACAATCAGAGCACAATGTCACACATGGCAGGATAGCACACAATCAGAGCACAATGGCATACATGGCAGGATAGCACATTATCAGGGGAGGATGGCACACTATCAGAGCATGCAGAATGCTAAATTATTAACATATGCAAACTCCCCAGCCAGGTATAATATTTCAAGAAGCAGGTGTAAAATAGATGTCCTGGGCCCCTACCACAAAGCAATCTGAGCACAATTACGACCACAACTTTCATGCATTTATAATTCCTCAGCAGTCATAGCTCTTTCATGGTTTGCTGGAACAAGGAACTGACATGCGTTCCTTACTCCGTCAGATGCCAGTCTCAGTTCATATCATCACACATCACTTGAAAACCTGAATATTCAAAGTCTATTCACTTACAGAAATCGTGTAGTGTTGATGAATTTTAGGGGCTGTTGCTTAGCTTGCATGTCAAAGTAGTCCTTCTTCCCAAATGAGAATGGGGTTTTAGTTAGTGTTGGGAATTGGTTAAAATCTCATAATTGATGATTGGTTCATCACAAACGATCAATCATCGAAAATAATTGGTTAGCGTTATTTATCAAATTGTCCTGGTTATGTTTGTTAATGCACAAAAAATAAAGAAAAAACACATAGTTCTTTCGAGCTTTTTGCAAATTGCACAAAATGCATTTGCAAATTTTACATCTTTAAAGGATGACTAGTATGTTAGGAACCTAAAGCTCCTGGAGTCTTTAAGATAAATTCAATCCTGACATGGAATGAGCTGGTAGTGCTTATGAAATGTAACAGACAAAACTCAACCTTGTGAAAAATATTGTTAAAGCGAAATAAGTGTTCCAAAATTGTTTGTGATCGATTATGAGAAAACATGATCGATTGCTTGGTCGTTTAGTCATTGTGACCAATCTTCGATTATTTCAATTAATCGGACCACCACTAGTTTCAGTTCCCCCCGATGTGTAAGCCCAGTTTGGAGCCCTGACTTCGCTGGTACATGTATGTTGCTGATAGTGGCATGAACCTTACTCTCAGTAAATGTACAAAATAATTTCACAAAACTGATCAGAAATTCGATATCTTTACTGTTTAATTATGTAATGATGGCGTATATGTACAGTCAATGAACACAGCTACAGATCACAAATACAAACAAGAGTTGCCATGGTTACATAATGAAGATCTTTAAACTTTGATTCTTCGTCCAGCTGCAAGATTTGGCTTGCTGTATTCAAGCAGTTAATACATATTAGACAATATGTAACATCTGATTTATCAAGCCAATCACATAACTTGACTCAACATATTTCAGCACTGAGATTAATAAAATGAAATGACTGACATGCCTCAACATTAAATGAGTGAATGTTCTTTCATACCAAGCAATACAGTGGTCGATAGCATGAGCATCAAGTAAGATGCCATCAGTCAGAAAAGCAATTATAAAAGATGCAAAACGTGTATGGTTGAAAAGTTATCTTCTGCAAGATTTGTGAGATTTCATGTGATGTTTGAATGAAACTTGATTTTACAGAGTATGACTAATTCATATCTAAAAGAAATGCTTGTCATTTTCATCAGAAGGGATGTCATGAATATTTTCAGAATTGTGCTCAACTGGTGATAATTGAGGTTGGTTTAAAGAATTACAGTTATGTAACGGTTTAGTAACAAAGCAAGCCCAAAAGTGACACAGATGATAAGTTTTTCTTTAAAGTTTTTTACAGGTTTTGTGCCAACAGTTTAAGGATCGTAGTGAAGTCACAACCAGATAAAAACAATATCCTGGTACAGTTAGCGAACATAACTCTGCATAGCTGATTAGGATTAAAACCTGACCATGTCACACAAGTGCCTGTTTGTGGGGATGTGAGTCATTAACATGTGACAACAGTGCCCCCTTCTGGAGTTATGAACTCCAGTGCCCATATTGAATATTTGGGTTATCACATGGCGGAAGATGGTAGAACAGATGACAGATTGTAACATTGTATAAACTCTGCTAGGCTATGACTAGTTGAGCTTATAATCCTGAATCTTCTTCTGTAGCGACTTCTTTTAATAATACTTTTAAATAATTTCAAGTCCCATTCAATCTGAGACTCATCATCTAATCATTTATCATCCATTTCATTTGAATGCTACTGATTAGAGAATCAAGTCTTCCTCTCCACCACTCTCATCCATCCCACCAAGAATGGCGGTAGAGTATATAAGTCAAGCTTCTGTGAACAGTTTCACCCTTCTTTGAAAACTCAAATACTGATGCTAAGATTCTTATAAAATGCCCATCAATTATGAAAATGTACAAACAATCACTACTTTATTAATGACAAACAGTTTCCACATTCACTGTATATGATTCTCTTTTCAGCCAAATCCCAAACAAATATACACCCATGATAATCTTCAGCGACAGACAAGACTTCTCCAGCAAGGTGATGTGGTCAGTGCAAGGATACATGACATCACGTGTATATTGCTCCACAATAAAATAGTTCCACACACTATCATCACATAAAACAGCAATCAGTCTGCTGTTACATCTTGTCCATGAAATGAGATTGTCCATCTTTGTCAAGCCTCCTGGTGAGGACATCACAGCCAGTTTCTGTCACAAGCAGAGTGTGTTCAAACTGAGCTGACCGGCGGCCATCTTGTGTCACAGCAGTCCAGTTGTCTGGCCACATTTCGTCCCTCCATGTTCCTGTAATCACAACAATGGTTTTTCATGGATGTCAACTTCTGATGTGGACATGCATCAAACATTGATAAGAATATAGTAAGGGACACCTCATAGATGATCTGTTGTAATCTGAGATGCTAGATCAACCTTCTTGAAAAGTTCAAGCAATATATTTCTCAACATGTGATGAGAACATTTCTCCTTTTAAAGAAATCACTTCAATATTTTTTTTGTTTATGTAGTTAGAAACTTAAAATGATACCTCTATAAATGCAAAATAACAAATGCAAAAATCTATTGAAATCAATTGTGGTAAATATATAAGCCAACAATAATGTAATTTTTATTAAAATTGATATTTTATAACAATCCTGACTCATCAAGGTAACTAAGCATGAGTCAGGATACAAGAAAATACAACTTCACATGCGTTTATTTAATGACAAACATAAACTCTGTAGGCAATGACAAGAAATCACTGACATCGTCTGGAGCACAATAAAGAAACACAAACTCCCCATGAACAGTATCAGCCATTCTGGAAAATTTGGGAAGGGGTTGTTGTTATTTCAAATATATATGCAAAAACTTGTCCTTGGTTAATCAATCAAATGCCATGGAATCTTTCCCTCTTAAATGTTGAGTAGAATATTTACTAAATCTTCATGAAAGCAAAAGTCAATATTATTTTTCCCCAACCCCAACCTTCTCTACCTCTTCCAACAAGCATTAAGTGTCGTCTACTATCTGTCACATCTATCGGTCTGTAACTGTCTGTAGTAGAACTTCCGAATTACGGTCCCATGGGGTTTATCTCAGTAGGTTGGTTGGTTGGTTCGTTGTTTAATGCCGCACTCAGCAATATTCCAGCTATATGGTGGCTATCTGTAAATAATCGTGTCTGGACCAGACAATCCAGTGATAAACAGCATGAACATCAATCTATGCAATACGGATATGAAGACATGTGTCAACCAAGTCAGCGATCCTGACCACCCAATCCTGTTTGTACGACAAGCATGGCTTGCTGAAGATCTTTGCTGGTAGAGGCTTATCTCAACCTCCAATGACCAGCTGTAAGAGCTTTTTGTACAACAAGATATTTTACTCCAATACAATATTTCTCTGCATTATGATTTCACAAACCCTTCAAAGGAGGACAGATCACCTGAAGGTACTTATTATAGACGTGTTGTCAGTTCTTCCTTCAGAAGGGTGTTGTATTGCAGAAAAGATTGGACATTAAACAAGACTGTTTGTGCATGATGTGAGCTACCTTTCAGACACCACCTTACCTTCTGAGATCATGGGCTCTATAGTAAAGCAGTGTCCCGGCTTCATCACACCTACAGCTTTATTCTCTGAAACACAACACATCAAACATACATCAGTATTACACTACAGGAGAGACAGGCTACTTCATCACACCTACAGCTTTATTCTCTGAAACACCACACATCAAACCTACATCAGTATTTCACTACAGGAGAGACAGGCTACTTCATCACACCTACAGCTTTATTCTCTGAAACACAACACATCAAACCTACATCAGTATTTCACTACAGGAGAGACAGGCTACTTCATCACACCTACAGCTCTATTCTCTGAAACACCACACATCAAACATACATCAGTATTTCACTACAGGAGAGACAGGCTACTTCATCACACCTACAGCTCTTTCTCTGAAACACAACACATCAAACATACATCAGTATTTCACTACAGGAGACAGGCTACTTCATCACACCTACAGCTTTATTCTCTGAAACACAACACATCAAACATACATCAGTATTTCACTACAGGAGAGACAGGCTACTTCATCACACCTACAGCTTTATTCTCTTAAACACCACACATCAAACATACATCAGTATTTCACTACAGGAGAGACAGGCTACTTCATCACACCTACAGCTTTATTCTCTGAAACACAACACATCAAACATACATCAGTATTTCACTACAGGAGAGACAGGCTACTTCATCTCAAACATACATCAGTATTTCACTACAGGAGAGACAGGCTACTTCATCACACTTACAGCTCTATTCTCTGAAACACCACACATCAAACATACATCAGTATTTCACTACAGGAGAGACAGGCTACTTCATCACACCTACAGCTTTATTCTCTGAAACACCACACATCAAACATACATCAGTATTTCACACAGGAGAGACAGGCTACTTCATCACACCTACAGCTCTATTCTCTGAAACACAACACATCAAACATACATCAGTATTTCACTACAGGAGAGACAGGCTACTTCATCACACCTACAGCTCTATTCTCTGAAACACAACACATCAAACATACATCAGTATTTCACTACAGGAGAGACAGGCTACTTCATCACACCTACAGCTTTATTCTCTGAAACACAACACATCAAACATACATCAGTATTTCACTACAGGAGAGACAGGCTACTTCATCACACCTACAGCTTTATTCTCTGAAACACAACACATCAAACATACATCAGTACAGTGAACTCTGTCAATACCGGCCTCTCTTAACACGGCACTCTGTCTACATCGGCACAAAGTTTCAGTCCCGCAGAAATGCACGCTATTATCATTTAGAAACTTCTGTAAACATCGCATCTGTCTATTCAGGATATCGCATTGTTTTTCAGTCCCAACGAACAAGTTGTTATGAAAACGAATCTGTAAAACCGGCACATGAAAGACGACGGCGTAACCCTTTGATGCAATTAGGTCCAAATGATGTAACAACACAATTCGGCTCTGACTCGAGATTATTCAGAAACGGAAGTGTTAATCAGTATCTTGTTAATCAGTGAGTGGTACGTAACACTTACCCAGAGTAATTAATACATATAGTGGGCAGTTTGACTGTATAAACAAGCAAGTGTTTACATTTTGTTGATTCGCTGGGTATTGACTCGAGATTATTCAGAAACGGAAGTGTCAATCAGTTTCTTGTTAATTAGTGAGTGGCACGGTCACTTACATAGAGGCTTAATCGTTTGATGCGTGTATCGCCTCGAAAAGCTCTGAACATCAACAATATCACTGTACTCTTGCCCAGAGAGTATTTTCACATTTGTAAGAAGCGCATTTTATTGGATAAAGATTGGTTTCTAACGACGCTTTTCACTACACTCTGCTTATAAGGGTCGTGATTGGTCAAAATCAGACACGTGACCTAAGCAGCCAATCATATTATGGAAATGGATACCGTCCCTCAGAAAGCGAAAAAAGTTTTAGATTAAGACAAAGTTTTGGGTAAATAATGCTATTCTGAACATATTAAGAAAGACATCGCTACCTATAATGTGGAATCATGGAACGTATTGGACATATCGTGCTAGGTTATGGCCTATGACAAAAATGCTTCACGCATATATTTTCACATTAAGCATCGTGGTGAAAGCCGCAGATGTAACTTGTCAGTGACTTGACTTACATTGCATGATCGCTCAAAAGAATGGAAATAGTAATTTTATATGTGCGTTTGACAACTTTTATGAATGTTATTGTTGATTTCAATTTATTTAATGATTTCCTCGATGTTTGAAACATCGTTACTTTGCTCTTTGACAATGCTATTGTAGACCCGGCTGCGTCAAGCATAAACAAGAATCGTTGTTTGCAATAACATTGCTAAAAAATAGTTTATAATTTTAATTCTGCCGATAATATATGATCAGTTGAAATTTAATAAGAGATTTCAGACATTTTTATTTGATTTAAACAACATGAATGTGCATTCAGGCACTGCCTTGTTTCTTATTCAAACATCTTGTTAATGCTAACGTTGACAGTACGACAGCTTAACTTCCGTGTAGCGGCCATCATAGCGAAACCTAGCTAAACCGGCACTCTGTCAAAACCGGCATTTTACTTTGTCCCGACTGATGCCGTATTGACAGAGTACACTGTATTTCACTACAGGAGAGACAGGCTACTTCATCACACCTACAGCTTTATTCTCTGAAACACAACACATCAAACATACATCAGTATTTCACTACAGGAGAGACAGGCTACTTCATCACACCTACAGTTTTATTCTCTGAAACACAACACATCAAACATACATCAGTATTTCACTACAGGAGAGACAGGCTACTTCATCACACCTACAGCTCTATTCTCTGAAACACAACACATCAAACATACATCAGTATTTCACTACAGGAGAGACAGGCTACTTCATCACACCTACAGCTTTATTCTCTGAAACACAACACATCAAACATACATCAGTATTTCACTACAGGAGAGACAGGCTACTTCATCACACCTACAGCTTTATTCTCTTAAACACCACACATCAAACATACATCAGTATTTCACTACAGGAGAGACAGGCTACTTCATCACACCTACAGCTTTATTCTCTGAAACACAACACATCAAACATACATCAGTATTTCACTACAGGAGAGACAGGCTACTTCATCACACCTACAGCTTTATTCTCTGAAACACAACACATCAAACATACATCAGTATTTCACTACAGGAGAGACAGGCTACTTCATCACACCTACAGTTTTATTCTCTGAAACACAACACACATCAAACATACATCAGTATTTCACTACAGGAGAGACAGGCTACTTCATCACACCTACAGCTCTATTCTCTGAAACACAACACATCAAACATACATCAGTATTTCACTACAGGAGAGACAGGCTACTTCATCACACTTACAGCTCTATTCTCTGAAACACCACACATCAAACATACATCAGTATTTCACTACAGGAGAGACAGGCTACTTCATCACACCTACAGCTTTATTCTCTGAAACACCACACATCAAACATACATCAGTATTTCACTACAGGAGAGACAGGCTACTTCATCACACCTACAGCTCTATTCTCTGAAACACAACACATCAAACATACATCAGTATTTCACTACAGGAGAGACAGGCTACTTCATCACACCTACAGCTCTATTCTCTGAAACACAACACATCAAACATACATCAGTATTTCACTACAGGAGAGACAGGCTACTTCATCACACCTACAGCTTTATTCTCTGAAACACAACACATCAAACATACATCAGTATTTCACTACAGGAGAGACAGGCTACTTCATCACACCTACAGCTTTATTCTCTGAAACACAACACATCAAACATACATCAGTACAGTGAACTCTGTCAATACCGCCCTTCTTAACACCGCACTCTGTCTACATCGGCACAAAGTTTCAGTCCCGCAGAAATGCACGTTATTATCATTTAGAAACTTCTGTAAACATCGGCATCTGTCTATTCAGGATATCGGCATTGTTTTTCAGTCCCAACGAACAAGTTGTTATGAAAACGAATCTGTAAAACCGGCACATGAAAGGCAGCGTAACCCTTTGATGCAATTAGGTCCAAATGATGTAACAACACAATTCGCATCTGACTCCCCAGATTATTCAGAAGCGGGAAGTGTTAATCAGTATCTTGTTAATCAGTGAGTGGTGCAGTAACTTTTACCCAGAGTAATTAATACATATAGTGGGCAGTTTGACTGTATAAACAAGCAAGTGTTTACATTTTGTTGATTCAAGGGTATTGACTCGAGATTATTCAGAAACGGGAAGTGTCAATCAGTTTCTTGTTAATTAGTGAGTGGCACGCGTCACTTACATAGAGTGCTTAATCGTTTGATGGTGTATCGTTCGAAAGCTCTGAACATCAACAATATCACTGTACTCTTGCCGAGTATTTTCACATTTGTAAGAAGCGATTTTATTGGATAAAGATTGGTTTCTAACGACGCTTTTTTCACTACACTCTGCTTATAAGGGTCGTGATTGGTCAAAATCAGACACGTGACCTAAGCAGCCAATCATATTATGGAAATGGATACCGCCCTCGTGAAGCGAAAAGTTTTAGATTAAGACAAAAGTTTTGGGTAAATAATGCTATTCTGAACATATTAAGAAAGACATCGCTACCTATACGTAAAATCATGGAACGTATTGGACATATCGTGCTAGGTTATGGCCTATGACAAAAATGCTTCACGATATATTTTCACATTAAGCATCGTGTGAAAGCCGAGATGTAACTTGTCAGTGACTTGACTTACATTGCATGATCGCTCAAAAGAATGGAAATAGTAATTTTATATGTACGTTTGACAACTTTTATGAATGTTATTGTTGATTTCAATTTATTTAATGATTTCCTCGATGTTTGAAACATCGTTACTTTTGCTCTTTGACAATGCTATTGTAGACCACGTCAAGCATAAACAAGAATCGTTGTTTGCAATAACATTCACGAAAAATAGTTTATAATTTTAATTCTGCCGATAATATATGATCAGTTGAAATTTAATAAGAGATTTCAGACATTTTTATTTGATTTAAACAACATGAATGTGCATTCAGGCACTGCCTTGTTTCTTATTCAAACATCTTGTTAATGCTAACGTGACAGTGACGACAGCTTAACTTCCGTGGTGCAGGGCGTCATAAAGCGAACCTAGCTAAACCCGGCACTCTGTCAAAACCGGCATTTTTACTTGGTCCCGACTGATGCCGGTATTGACAGAGTACACTGTATTTCACTACAGGAGAGACAGGCTACTTCATCACACCTACAGCTTTATTCTCTGAAACACAACACATCAAACATACATCAGTATTTCACTACAGGAGAGACAGGCTACTTCATCACACCTACAGTTTTATTCTCTGAAACACAACACATCAAACATACATCAGTATTTCACTACAGGAGAGACAGGCTACTTCATCACACCTACAGTTTTATTCTCTGAAACACAACACATCAAACATACATCAGTATTTCACTACAGGAGAGACAGGCTACTTCATCACACCTACAGCTTTATTCTCTGAAACACAACACATCAAACATACATCAGTATTTCACTACAGGAGACACAGGCTACTTCATCACACCTACAGCTTTATTCTCTGAAACACAACACATCAAACATACATCAGTATTTCACTACAGGAGAGACAGGCTACTTCATCACACCTACAGCTTTATTATTCTCTGAAACACAACACATCAAACATACATCAGTATTTCACTACAGGAGACAGGCTACTTCATCACACCTACAGCCTCTATTCCTCTGAAACACCACACATCAAACATACATCAGTATTTCACTACAGGAGAGACAGGCTACTTTATCACACCTACAGCTTTATTCTCTGAAACACCACACATCAAACATGCATCAGTATTTCACTACAGGAGAGACAGGCTACTTCATCACACCTACAGCTCTATTCTCTGAAACACAACACATCAAACATACATCAGTATTTCACTACAGGAGACAGGCTACTTCATCACACCTACAGCTTTATTCTCTGAAACACAACACATCAAACATACATCAGTATTTCACTACAGGAGAGACAGGCTACTTCATCACACCTACAGCTTTATTCTCTGAAACACAACACATCAAACATACATCAGTATTTCACTACAGGAGAGACAGGCTACTTCATCACACCTACAGCTTTTATTCTCTGAAACACAACACATCAAACATACATCAGTATTTCACTACAGGAGAGACAGGCTACTTCATCACACCTACAGCTTTATTCTCTGAAACACAACACATCAAACATACATCAGTATTTCACTACAGGAGAGACAGGCTACTTCATCACACCTACAGCTTTATTCTCTGAAACACCACACATCAAACCTACATCAGTATTTCACTACAGGAGAGACAGGCTACTTCATCACACCTACAGCTTTATTCTCTGAAACACCACACATCAAACCTACATCAGTATTTCACTACAGGAGAGACAGGCTACTTCATCACACCTACAGCTCTATTCTCTGAAACACCACACATCAAACATACATCAGTATTTCACTACAATAGAGACAGGTTACTTCATCACAACAGGGTACGACATGAGAAATGTGTCTAGAGTCAGTGAGTTAAGATTTTAAGTCACATTGTATTTCAGCCATATCGCGTCTCACGGACTAGAGGAAGACTCAAAGCAGAAGAAAATATCACTAGTTGTAATTGCATTGTATTGTATTGTGAAACACAGGAACTGATTGTGATACACTGGGACTGTGGTAAGTCTGCATTACAGTATGGAAGCTAATGTCATCTCAGTGCTGAGGTCTCTTTGTGCAACAAAACCAGTTGATGTGACCAATGCTGGTTGTTCTAGTGCTAGACTGGTTATTGCTACTTCCACAAATTATAACCCTTCCGTACTCCACAACAGATGACACTTACTTGCATAGTGAGGAACGCTGGGAGCAGTGTGGAACAGTCTGGAACACAACAGGGCACAGTGTATTCACAGCAATGTTGTAGAGCGTGGTATCACTGAATACACCTCGACTATCATCGTTTGCTTATTCTTTGTTATGTTTTTACTTACAGCTTGTTTTTCAAAACTTTAACTGATGCTCAAAACAAATCTTGAAAACAATCAGACTCTTTGATCATGTTTTTGTAATAAAATATAGGACAATAATTGGAAATAAAATTAATTTAAACACACTGCTCAAATAATTTCAAGTATTTATTTAAAAGGTACTGAATGCAGATTAAAAATACAATGTGGGAAACAATGTGGAGAATCAGAACCTTAAAAAATATCACAAATTTGAACCACAAATACACTATACTTTACTACTCTGTCTGAAATCCCTGAAACATCCCTCAAATAAATAGAAAGATGCATTGAACAGGGTTCTGTCCATGAAATGCAATGTGTGGCACGGGACTGCTTGTCAGTCTTCCACAAAGTACAGGAGTTACTGATCACCCTCATGCTATGTGTGGAACGGGTCCCTGGACTGGATTCAAGTACAAACAGCAACTCACTGATGGATGCCATGTCCACAGTAACTTCTAACGACAGAGTAGCCGTGGGCTTGAGCGTGTTTCTGGATGACATTGCCTATTTCCCGATATCGCACACCAGGTTTTACTGAAACACAATGTCCAAAATGAATCATTTTTTAGACACTAAGGAAAATTCCTACTTAATGACATCAGCCTGTAAATTATCATGTCTGGCCCAGAGAATCCAGAATTCATATTGTCCAACACATTCCACAGCATCGTACTAAGATGTCATGCAATCAACATAGTAACTGAAAATGACCAGCCAATCCACTTGATCACACACTACTAGGAACAATTCTAACCAAAAATCCCTCCAGAAATGCTTTCAGTAAAGTTGTGTCCGTGATGATGATTACACATTTATGTTTGCCATAGCTCCATACCTACTGCATAGGACCATAGTTAAGCTGATCTCGTAGTCATAGGTAAGCCAAGGTCCTATCTTGACCCTCAAAATCAGTATCAATATGTAATGGCCAGTACATAAGGAGAATGAAAAGCCCATTTCTAGTGTCCCTGCCGTGATAATGCTGGAATATTGTCAAAAGCAGCGTAACTAAACTCACTCACGTAAGTAGAAACCACCAACCTTTGTATTTTGAAAAACAAATTACCTACCTTCCTCTATTGCATGCTGTAAACTACCTTCCCAATTTCTTGCTATTTTCATCAACTGTACCCAACAAAATGTCTCATGTGATCTTGTCCATGGTGACAAACAGTGATATCAACTGGAAAATTTTAATGCTCTTTTATAATCAACTTCACCCACAAAAATGTCTCATTCAGATCTCCATGGTAAACCATGAATCCTATTCAAACACTGAAGCATCCGTGATATCAACTGGAAATATTCCGCTAAAGCAACCTGGGACTATAATGTCACTTTTATTATAAATATTTTCATTATTTTGTAGATTGTATTTAGATCCATATTATTGATTATATGCTATTATTATGTAAAATTCTAAAGTGACGATTTTCACTTCATTGCAGCTGAGGTCAAGTGGCATGTCAGCAATGCAGATTGAGGCTATCCTATTCAAATCCTGTTTGCTCACTTGTTGCCTTCATACTTGTTCTTTCATTCACCCCCAATATTGTTACCTCCACAATTATTTACTACCGTGTGAGGGCGATGAATAAGAGCAGTCCCATGTCATGTGGACCTGGGAATAAGGGAGGTAACTCACCCTCTCGCTTCAGTGCTGCAATAATCAAGGTTTCTAGTCAGGACAAGGAAAAATAATAAGATACTAAAAACAGAAACAAGTCACCCATTTTGATACTACAAGTTCTATACTCCACTTATGATATTTTCTCACTTTTAAAATTTTCTTACACTTTCTGTTTAAAATATTTAACACATGAAATACATCACAGTTAAAATACCAAATCATTAAAAACAATACGTTTTCTGAATTAATCATCCTACCCTACAGCGTTACACATTTAACACACTCCAAGAGTAGTTCCTATACATGTACAGTACAACCAGAAATTATTGAGAATTTAAAGATTATAAATTTGTTATTTTTTTCACTCATTACTCACATATTAAATGTGAATATTAGCAGAACATAACTCCAGATTCAAAGACAGGTGAACAGTTAGTATTTTGTCAAGTCACCATCGGCAGCAATGCAGGCTTAAATGCGGCGGGGCATACTACTGACAAAGAAGTTAGAGAGTCGTGGTCCATGCTGTCCCAATATCAGACCACCTCTTCTTTCATTTCATTCATCTGATATCCTTGTTATAATACTCTAAAATCAACTTCCTCTTCTCTAAATCATCCATACTGAGGATCACTGAAAATGCCGTCTGCTAGCAAGTAAACAAAGGGGGATAACTCTTCACAAACTAATGAAAAAGGATTAACGGAGTTGTCTCTCTTGAATGAAACCAAGCACTTGATAGCTGGTCAAGGTTGTTTATACTAGAAATCCAATTAAACATATTCCTAAAATTCTCAATAATTTCTGGTCATACTATACAATTCATTATAATACTATACAACAGTATCACAGGAATAGTATTGTAAAAATGCCCTCAACATGCTCAATGGTCAATTCTAAACATCGCTCGGAATGTAATAAAATTGTTCATCCATACATCTTATCCTTCCTCAGTCATGCTAACTGTCAGTAACTTTTAACTTAATACTTTGTTTTATCATCTCAACACTGCAACAATAAAGCTGCTACATAACATTTTCACTCATGTATTAGAAGACGATATCAGGAGTCTCTGGTCTCTATCAATATCTGACTCGGAAGAGTATTTCAAAATCAGGTTGTTTTACGCTGATGTGATAGCTCTCTGAATGAAGATCTCATCAACTCTTCAAAAGAGGTCAGGCCCTGCTTTCTCGAAACAAATGTAAGTCTGAGTTTTGACTTAAGTTAGAATTTTTACTCAAATTTGAGAAAACGCATTTCCCATGTTGAACTGAAATTGATATTACACTCAAACATAGTAGACAATTTGAGTTTGGTGAATAGAATACTTAAGTTGTTTCGGCTTTTTTATTTTAAACTCAAACTCAGTTTATAATTTGAGTAAAAACTTAAGGACTCCACCCCTCTAGCCCCCCGTCCCCCTGTTGTCACAAGCCACTAATTAGTACCTCTAGCCCCTCGCCTGGCTGTTCTGTTGGCTGTACTCACTCCCCTGTAACTGGATTAACTGTTGCTATTAATTAACTCGGTAAGTCAGGTGCCGAGTCAGATCAGTTGTTGCTACGCAACATACATATTGCCCATCATATGTCCAATGGCACACAGGTATGAGTCAAGATTTCTTTCACATGACATGTACTCTAGTCCAAGACATTTAATCGTGTCATCACATAATCTATCAGTGATGCATGATAATGCTTCCTCCTGATCAGTGATCCAGTTACGCTCTAACCACTAGAGGTGAGACCACGGAGGCGCTTGTACTAGCCAAGACTTAAGCTGGTTTTATAGTGCTAGCCCACTGAGATACCATAGCAGTGAAGCATAATACTAAGACACATTAGACTGGCCAGTCCTTGTTGTATCAGGCAGTACCATATTTTAACGCTCTTTTTGGTATGGATACCTTCAGAGAAACTACACCACCCGCGAGGGGCTAGAGGTACTAATTAGTGGCTTGTAACAGCAGGGGCTTCAGGAATGATGCCAACTTAAGTTTGTTTCACAGATGCTCACTAATCAATGATTCCACTGTCACTGCAATCATTAATCCAATATCTTTTTGTATCCTCCAAAACAAATGTAACCAGTCAGTGCCAAAAGGAAACAATAAAGGTTGTGCAGCTATTGTAGAGGACGTATCAGAGTAAAACTGACACAGAATTCCACTGATCCCAGATTATGTCCCCGTCTTGTAGAGGACTTCATTGACTGATCTGTGGACACAATATTGATGACTAGAAACATCTACCTCAAGAAAGGTAAGATAATCTATGTATAACAACTTTTTATTATGTATATATAAGTCTGTTCTGTGCTATAGCATTTCACTCTTGCTTGACAATGGTATAAGAACATATACCAAAACGCTGCATCGTAACATAATAAAGAAGCTGTCATCCACAAAGTATCTCACCTTTCTTATTATTCATCAACTTCTAAAATGAAATAAATCAACATCTACCTCATCAGTTGTGTTCTCATCATCATCAACATGTCATTAATAGCTTCCATAAGTGCTACCTGGGTGATAACACTATGTTCAAGGGTTCTGAAGTCATTGTTTCATTTGACACACATTTACCCACTAATTTTTGGTGGAAATTCTAATTAATCATATTGAATACATCTGTCTCCTTAAATGTATGTGAGTTTCTTGTTAAATATAACATTCAGAAGTATTCCAGCTATGTGACAGCATCCTGTAAACAACTGAGTACGGACCAGACAGTCCAGTGATTGTTATTGTGACGACAATCCACACTGTCGGGTGCGATGACCCGCCATCAACAAGGTCACGAAGCATGACCTCCTGATCCATCAAGTCACCTCTAAGACCAGCACTGGCTGCTAATTCTAACCTCCAATTGTTAAGTGCCATATAATATTGCAAAGTTACTCTCCAGATACAAACAATAGTCGCACTGCAACAAAGTGTATCTTAGTACTTACTACATGTACAATCCTAAATTTCATAAACAAAGATAATCTTCAATATGTCTTTCAAAAAGTTCAAAAACGCTGTCAAGACAAAAGCAATGTCTAGCCATTGGGCAGTTCTATTCTCCATTGGCATCTCAAGGTTTTGCCTTCAAACGAGGCATCCAGACATAAACATCAACTGAGTAGATGAAATAAATCCATAACAACAGTATAGAAATATGATGACTTACGTGCAACATGACTTTGGGAACCCATAATAGTTGAGAGGAGATGGGTAGCACTCCCTGTCTATGCATGCCTAAAAGTAGAGAGAAGGTCGGTGTCAACACAGCTGGCTCACTATCACAGTGTTCTACATCACCTAGATGATCACAGAGTACTGGGATACTGCTGGTTACCATAGAGAGTTGCAAACTTGTGTGAATTGCAATATTTTGATAACTGTAAAAGCATAACTGCATTAAGACTTATCAAACACTGATGTCAGTTTACAAGGTTCATTCTAAACTTAAAACACAAAAAACTAAGAACCCCTTACTAGTTTAATTTACGTCATAGAAAACGCCTGTAACCATCGGTTAGATAAGGTAAGACAAATAAGCTAACAACATTATTATCATGACTGACATATAGGAAGGCGTTTCCTATTCTCGCAGTACTTACAGATATCGGCTGAAAAAATAACACAAACAATTCTTATCATATTCATGCTTGTTGTTTTTAAATGAAGGGCCTTCTCCTCTAACATCTACATCTATCAGCTGCCAGATCCATCAGGTGAATTACCACTCGTGACCTCAGTGATAAACAATGCCATCCGCCATTAACGAAACGAGGCTTCTCCCATTCTCGTGGTATTACCTGGAATTAACGTTATTGAGTGTATGTAAGAGCAATCCTGCCGAAAAGGGCAGGAAAAGTAATGATATGTCCAAGTTGGTAGAAACTCCCCAATATTCGTGACACTGCAAGATTTTGATCATTCACAGACTTGGGCCACTTCCTAGTTACCAGTCGGTGATGTAAACAACCACTTAGTGTCGCGCATCGGCGATTTCGGCAGAAAACGTGTTTACCACAAGAATGGGAAACCCGCGAGAATAGGAGACGGACCTATACTATGTCTCGTTACCAAACCTAAAATGTGTACATGGATTATTGCGTAAACAGTATAATGAAACATCATATCAATATCATGATTTCCTACCAGTGAATGTACTACCTGAAATGTCTGACCATTAGTTTCTACTGCTGGTCTAAACGGTGTCTCTTACCTCATGTGCAATCAAATCTATCTCATCTGTTGTGATGCCGACTTCTACTGCTTTAGCTGCCTCGTCCAAGACTTCACGGCCCAGCTATAATCAACCAGATACAAAGCACTGTATCAACCAAACAGAGGCAGGCTGAAGATCTAAAACATTTCACAACAATGCAGCACAAATGACACTATAAATCAAGAGTGCCCAATTTAACGATAACATTCTCTCAACCATCCAAGTCTCTAGTTGAGGCAAATATGTGGACACCCACATTATATCAATGATTACCATTTTCTTCCATTATTTCTTTCAAAATACAGAGAGTCTCTGATAGACCCCTGCCATTAGTGTCCCACGTCCTGACACTGTTCTGGGCAAGATCACTGTACAGATATGACTGATGTTCCACACAATAGTGAATGGAACATAATTATCTCACAGCTATGGTGACATGAATGTAAATCTACATTTTTATACTTGCATGCATACATCTAAATCAAATAATAAATTGTATGAATGAGCTGTAGTATATTTAAAAGGTTATATTCCTTTTTTTAGAAGACATGCTCGACCGTTTGGATGAATGAGAGTGCATTACAAAGCCAGAAGGGATGTGAAACAAAATCAAACATGAGACCAAAGCTGTGATTGCTTAATATGTGATGATGTATGAAAATGAACACAGCTAGCCCGTCTGTACGCACTCAAAACATGTACATTATGTGTACAACTTAAACTGTTATTCAACAATATATAAAGAAAGTAAGAAAGAACACCAACTATGCCCAATCAATGCTGTATAGTATTGTTATTGATAAGTGCTAGAATAAATCACAATTCTTCATATTGTTCATCTTGTTTGATGCACTCAACAATCACAATCAGCATTGGTTGCTGTGACCCTGTTCTAACCCAGAATCCCAAGAGAATGAAAATACATTTAGGGATGCTATGTACTGAGATTGTTCCCTAATCATTACAGAGAAACTCCTCCCTACCCTGCAGGCAACAGTCATGCCCTCCTTCTCCTCATCGTCTAGTATCTTTATGTTGGTTGTTCCTCGGAGTTGGCGCTCAGTCAGCGGGACGCCTGTACACAGGAACAGAAACATGGTTGTAAGGTTGTTCAGGTGCATGACTGACTGACTGACAACAGAGAGTGAGTTTGGTTTTATGTCACTTTTAGCAATATTCCAGCAATATCACAGCGGGGGACACCAGTCCCAAGTCCAAATTCCACATACCTTCAGGGTGGTCAGCATAATCCGGACGTCCGATTGTGTCTGGGACCTGTCGTTTGGGAGTCTAAAAATAATTGAAACAAAAAAAACGTATGAGGGATTCTTTTGAGCCAAGTGACCAAATACCTTTAAAACTGATGGACCACATAGAGAATATAAGACCAAACTATCTGGAGATAAGTGTACTTACCAATATCAATAGCACTGCCCAATGCTGAAACAGTGACTTTTCCTATTTTTCATGGTTTGTAAGCAATTTAAGCAAAAATAATTCAACCAGAAACTGTTTCTAAAAAGAGGTTAATTGTTGGCTGTACGTGTATGTATACTTAACCACATTTAGTAGTCCGATCGGTGATTCACTAGACACAGGCTGTAGTCTAGTGGCTAAATATGTTAAAGGTCACATGCAACGTAAAACATAACTTTGCAGATTCTGACACCTTTCGGTATGGACTTACGAAACAAATCATCAAAATGCAAATTCAACTTATAAAGTTGAAAATAACGCGATGAAAAACCCGCATACGGCGAAATGCGTAGTTCAAACGATTCACTAACTTTCCCCAAGCTTGGGGAATTGAAGTGGTTTCAACAGCTGGGCTCGCTCATAGCACATCGCGCAGTGAAATAGGTTCGTCGGGCTTGGAAGCGGGTTGTCCCATGAATATTCGGTGAAGGCTTTGGTGTGAGCTATTTTTCTAATGTTTTGTTGATATTTCACAGAAGGCGAGAGCTTTTATATGTTATTACAGTAGATTACCAATTTAACTGTTTATATAATTTCATTTGTCTATTTCACCACCACGTTCTTCTTACGAGTCACTTTCTCAGTTCGATACTTAAAAGCAATGTCATTATTTAAGCGTCGACAGAATTTCTAACTGTGATATAGATATGTCGCGTTGTCACAGACAAAACTCAATGTCTGTTTTATTGGCACCTATGTGTCTGCCTGCCCGTCTGCTAATGACAATATTCAATACACAATTTCAATCACTGACCACATGCAATTTGAACTTAACACCTATCAGGCTATACACCACAAACAAAATGCATTGATTTATGGCCCGAGGTCAGTCTCTGTCACATTATGTAATTACATAGACAGGCAGGTGTGAGACTTGTACACATGACATGTTATGATGTCTGTTGATTGCAAAATGTTATACACAAAAATGAGCATGTATTTACAAAACTCAACATCTCTATATATACACACACACGCATGAGGGAGGCATCTGCAAATGAACCAGCCGTTACACTTGAGTGCACACCCACCAGCTCTGACTGGGTTGGTATCCCGGCTGCTTCGTTTCTTGGGAAGTAAACCCAAGTACAAAATATTGCACTTTTGATTTGCGATTATGCGGCTTATAATTTTGTTTTTATGTTTTTCATAACCAGCAATGTATATTATATGTCATGAATAAGTGATAATTGTGTTTTAATTATGTTTTTGATTTTTGGTTGCATGTGACCTTTAACAATAACATGGTTAAAGAATCAACATTAATCATTCACAAGAATAATATCTTACCACAGAGTAGGGTCGCGAGAGTCCCAGTAAAGTGAAACCCAGGCCAAGGGTTGAAACCACCTTTGTTCTGCTCATCATTCTCTTCTAGAACAAAGATACATAGGGATCAGCATAAACATGGACTGAAACCCAGGGTGCTAATGTACAAAATCTAAGCACTACAACTGTACAAATGTTACGTTATGGTATAGGAGTTAGGATGCCTTTAGTGGTGAGACTGCTTTGTGCAATGGCACGCTGAAAAAAAGTGAGATATCTGATTCCTTTTTATGACTTAAGCAATTAAATGAATTCAAACAGTAATCTAAAGCAGTACAAAATGATGAAATGTCAGCTTCCATTCCAAACAATGCATGTGACCTTTCAGCATCTATTACATTTTGCATATATAACTGCAGGAACTTACATAAGTGAAATCACAAAAATATCAGCCATGAGAAATGACAAATATTTGAAATAATTCATGTGTATAAGCATTTTACTTACTATTTTTCTTGTGAAGCTTCTTATGTTCAGACCATGACCCTTTGAAACAATCCTGAAAACAAAGAACGGCTTACATTCCTAAGGGGTGGGTACTGTGCAGGGAATATTCATATTGTGATATGATATGATAGCGAAAGCATGTGTGCACATATGTATTACAATACATTGCATGAAATATTTTTAAACAAAAACTACTTATAAATCGAGGTTACTGCTTGATTTATAGAGCAAAACACAACAAAAGTCACTATGCTTGATTAAGATTTAATAACAACTTTTAATCGCTTATAAAATAAAAATGTGAATAATATTTGGCCCAAATGAAACAAGGAAATATCCGGAGATTTCGAGGGATTCTACGACGCTTTCTGAATGCAAGTCAAATACCGGTTTTCGATCAAAGCGTGCATCGCAATGCGCATTATCGTTTTCAAGGTCTGAACGGTAAATACCGTTAAACCGCTATATTATGCGCCCTCTGTAATTCCTAAACAGCAGGTGTTACTATAAAGTGTAATGAGTGACATGCTCTATTTGATAATACCAGTAAATACTGTGCTCATTCTTAAAGACCGCCCCTCCGTGGTGTAGTGTTTAGAGCCTCCATGGAGAGAGATAGCGGAAGGTGTGGCCGGAGTTCCCTTCCCGACAGCGTCATACCAAAAGGCGTTAAAATATGGTACTTGTTGGTCCCTGCCTGGCTTCGGCATTAATGGGTACAAGGACTGGTCGGCTCGGAGTCAGTATAATGTGTCTGAATGGGGTATTCATGCTTCACTGCAGCATGGTATCTCAGTGGGCTAGCACTATAAAACCAGCTTCAGTCTGGGCTAGTACAAGCAGCCGCACATACACACACATGCACGTCGTCATATGAGCGAAATATTCTCAAGCACGACGTTAAACCCAATTTCACCTCACCTCATTCTTAAAGCTTGGGGAACAAGAAAATTCATGATGAACCGTGGCAGAATTATAAGTTATTTTAAAAGACTGCACTAAATGACACCTTTTATTCTTGAGTGAGTGAGTGAGTTTGGTTTTACGCCGCTTTTAGCAATATTCCAGCAATATCACGGTGGGGGACACCAGAAATGAGTTTCACACAATGTACCCATGTGGGATTTGAACCCAGGTCTTCGGCGGATCGCGGCTTAACGCTTTAACCACTAGGCTACCCCACCGCCACTTTTATTCTTGAAATGCCTTCTATACTTTTCCTGTAAAGAATTAGTGATGGTACAATTGGAGGAGTGAGTGAGTTTAATTTTACACCGCTTCTAGCAATATTCCCGCAATATCAGATGACACCAGAAATAGACTTTACAGATTGAACCATGAATTCAGTCAGAATTGTATATTGCCTGGTATATGTTTTATGGAGAAACATCTACCGTGCCGTACCATGTTTTCGGGGGAACCATGTTTTCGGGGCCAGTCTTTTCCCCGTAATTTCTCGCATACAGAGAGATGACAGCGCCACCTGTAAACACCGTCTCCAGTGCAGAAGCTTCCGTGGCAACCGGGACACAAAATGTTTGAAATATCCAGCTTTCACGTAAGTTGTGACCTAAATTTCTGTCAAAGTACTAAAAGTCTACCCTAGAACGTAATGCACTTTCAGAACCTTCATAAATGTGATCATAACTTTTGAAATAAAGCTCGTAACTTGTCAAGCGGACCATCGTCTCCTAGAATGAAAAGCCAAGCATAAACATCATGTGACTCTAATGAAATGTTGCCGGCGTAATAAAAACTATGGAAGACCGAATTGGTCATCTCTTACATATTTTTTTTTCGTCATGGTGGACCACTGGGTTCATTTAAAATACAGCTGCGATGTCACTGTACTGCGCGCAGACAAGACATGTTTTATCATGTTTATTGTCCCTGCCATGGCGTGCCAAGAAGAATGAATGTGCACATGATTGAATAACTTACCTGTAAATATGTTTATTTTTACCAATTTTCACCAAAAAACACTCAAATAATCAAGAAAAAAATGACCAGTTTGCTTGACTTTTCATTAAAATGTCACGTTGTATTTGTTGACTTCTTGGGAGAAGAATGCATCTGGGCCCATACTAGGTAATGACCCTTCCATACGAGTAACCCGAAAACATGGTACGTCACTTCTCGCGCTGGCGGACAGCCACAAAATGTTCGCTGCATTGGAAACCAGCGGACGACAGAAAATTCTGACAATAAACTTATGAAAGGTGAGATGATATTTAATTACGGAATTACAGTTTTGATAATCTACTGATACGCAATAATTTACATGATCATCTTTTGCGTTATTACCCCGAAAACACGTTACACCATGGTAATAGTTTTGGGGTAACCTGCCCTAAATACGACTAACCCAAAGGATTAATATAAAGAGGCACAACAATTTGTGAAGCAAGAGCCACAGCGTGCACCCAACTTACACCATATTACATGAGCTGGGAATGGCTGTGCCCAGAATACTGACATCGGTGGCTGATCACACATCTGTGGTGCTGCAACTTTGTGAAGTTGTGTCCCTTTGGTGTGAAAGAACCCTGTAACCATGGGTACAAATCCAAGATTCGTCCTGTGATTCTTGGTTTGTCAGCAGCATATCTGTGCTCAAGAGTTTCATGAAGTCTATAACTGGTTAAAACCCTGTAACACGCTGCGTCTTCCTCCCACGTAAATCTAGATAATTTATTCTATTACCACTGAGATTTGATACAAAACACGTTTCAGTCACATGAAACTGGGTTTATTAAATCACCTTTGTATTCAAACTATCTTCCAAGCCTCCGGGCTTTCACTGGGCCGTATTTTCGTATTATAAATCTATTGTGGCACTAGAACGAATGATCTAGATAAGCAGTCTTCACTGCAGAGTTCTTTGACTTTACAGCAAGAATTCTTACCATGACTTGACTGTGTTAAGTTATCGAGACAGGGAAGTTGGAACTAATCGACAAAACAAAGTAACATGTGATCGAAGACATGAATTGACTTCCAATTACCTGGGAACAGAAAAAAGACCCTGGAATCCCTATTTTTATACAGGTTGGGCACTGAAGCTTAGCTTCGCTGTTACAACCCGGTGTTTCGCAAACTCGTGCCGCAACACAGGCGGCCGCCATCTTGTTTCTGAGAATAAGCTCAAACTAGAGTTACGTCCCCTGCATGTATAAATAATAGCATTGAAAGCTGGGCAGCTTCAGCGATACATGTATACTTAAATAGGAATAGATCAGTATTAATTGAAATAGTTTTCTTTTTTGGTTCTATTTCTCAAAAGTCGGCACAAATTCCCTCACCCTGATGTCAAACTTAAAGAGAAAGGCTTCCCCGGATTTCGGTGTATGTATTCCCTGATTACTTCGACGAGAAAAGAGATATGTATCTATGATGTAATGTCAATTTATCCTTTAATTAAAAAAAGGATAAAACAGTTAATCTAGTCGCTATTAAACCATTAGACTTCCCAGTACTATCAATGGTAAGAAAACAATTTGTTAAAGATTTCTTTACCATCAGGTATAGTGTTGTAGTAGTTGTGTAACGACTGATCGGATTATCGATCTGTTGCAAATGGCATGGACGCAATACATCGATTCCAAATTAAAATATTCACAACAGACATTGATACTACACATTCCTTATACACTACACTATACTATTGATATACTCTCTATTAGGCTTTCAATGTAATATATTAGGCTTTCAATGTAGACTCACAACTGTCGATGTACTCTACATGTAATAATAATAATAATAATAATAATAGGCCATTTATAAACCGCTTTTCCACGTAGATGTAACATAGTGTCAATAAATGTGTCATTTTAATGTGTTAAACTTCATTATTTTAAACTTAGGTATACAAATTTATCATTACCAAACTAGTCTTGCACTGTTTAATCAATTCACTGGTAAGCTAGCTTGGGGGTCTATTATTAAGGGTAAGTGATCTGTGTCAGGTTCAATCTCTGCATTGGCCTGTTGTCAAGGTTCCTATTGTTTCATAGATTTCACCTTCTCATCATATTTAAAGCTTTCTACTGCCTTTAAGTTAGTTAAAGGTCACATGCAACCAAAAAATCAAACATAATTAAAACACAATGATCACTTAGTCATGACATATAATATACATTACTGGTTATGAAAAAACATATAAACAAAATTATAAGCGTACAATCGCAAATCAAAAGTGCAATATTGTGTACTTGGGTTTACTTCCCAAAAAACGAAGCAGCCGGGATACCGAACCCAGTCTGAGCAGGTGGGTGTGCACTCAAGTGTAACGGCTGGTTCATTTGCAGATGCCGTCTCGGTTCATTGTGTGTGTATATATAGAGATGTTGGGTTTTGTAAATACATGCTCATTCTTTGTGCATAACATTTTGCAATCAACAGACATCATAACATGTCATGTGTACAAGTATCACACCTGCCTGTCTATGTAATTACATAATGTGACAGAGACCGAACTCGGGCCATAAATCAATGCATTTTGTTTATGGTGTATAGCCTGATTGGGGTTAAGTTCAAATTGCATGTGGTCAGTGATCGCAGTTGTGTATTGAATATGGTCATTAGCAGACAGGCAGGCAGACACACAGGTGTCAATAAAACAGACATTGAGTTTTGTCTGTGACAACGACATATCTATATCACAGTTTGAAATTCTGTCAACGCTAAATAATGACATTGCTTTTAAGTATCGAACTGAGAAAGTGACGCGGTAAGAAGAACGTGTGGTGAAATAGACAAATGAAATTATATAAACAGTTTATTTACTGTCATAACATATAAAAAGCTCGCGCCTGTGAAATATCAACAAAACATTAGAAAAATAGCTCACACCAAAGCCTTCACCGAGTATTTACCGGAAAACCTACTTCCAAGCTACGTGAACCTATTTCACTGCGCACGGTTTTTTTCATCGCGTTATTTTTCAACTTTATAAGTTGAATTTGCATTTTTCATGATTTGTTTCGGTAAGTCCATACCGAAAGGTATCAGATCTGCAAAGTTGTGTTTTACGTTGCATGTGACCTTTAAGTTAGATCTTTTAGTATTACATGTTAGTAGGGCTATTAGGATTTAGTGCGTTAGATTATATGTTTTAAGGAATAGTGTTTTATAATATTTAGTGTATGTTAGGCGTTTGTCCATAAATACAGTACAACCAGAAATTATTCAGAATTTAAAGATTGTAATGTTTTTCACTCATTACTCACGTATTAAATGTGAATATTAGCAGAACATAACTCCAGATTCAAAAACAGGTGAACAGTTAGTATTTTGTCAAGTCACCATGGGCAGCAATGCAGGCTTCAATGCGGGGGCATACTACTGATCAAAGAAGTTAGAAAGTCGTCGTCCATGCTGTCCCAATATCGGACCACCTCTTCTTTCATTTCAGAAATATTTGTCAGATTTTTCTTATTGACACTTTCCTTCATAAGTCCCCAAACATTTTCTATTGGATTTAAGTCAGGGCTATAGCTTGGCCAATCTAATAATGTCATAGTTTGGGTCCGAAACCAGGCCTGTGAATGCTTTGAACGATGTTTTGGGTCGTTGTCCTGCTGGAAAATCCAAAAATTTCCATAGAACACGTGAGCAGATGGAAGTAAATGTCCCTTGAGAATATCTGTGTACCGCTCACTGTTCATATTCCCTTCAAATACACAGAGGGGCGTTGCCCCTAACACAGATATGCCACCCCACACGTTAAATTTCGGACTGTTCTTTGGGCGCTGATACAAAGGTTTTTCAGTTTGTTTGGTCCAGAATTTCAGTGTATTAGGAAACAGCCACACGGAACTTTCATCTGAGAAAATCACATTGTCCCAGTTAAAATTTCTATGCTGTAAGCACCAGTTCAACCTTCGCTCCTTTTGTTCAGGTTTCATGATCGTTGATGGAATTCCTCGACTTTTCTGCTAACCCACTGCATGCAGCTCAGTTCTAATTGTCTCCTTACAGACAGCCACAGTTCCTCTATCAATCATATCCAGCCTTAAGTTTTCTAAACTCCTTCGTTTGTTTTGAGAAACAAGAATACCTAGCCGCCTCCTGTCACCGACAGTAAATTTTCTTGGCCTACCTGCGCCTCCCTGGTGCTCAATGCCATATCCATGTGCAATATTTTTCAAAACACGATAAACAGTGGACAAAAGGATGCCTGTTCTACTTGAAATCACTTTAGCTGATCTGGTGTCCTTGTTATAATACTCTAAAATCAACTTCCTATTCTCTAAATCATCCATACGGAGGATCACTGAAAATGTTGTCTGCTAGCAAGTAAACAAAGGGGGATAACTCTTCACAAACTAATGAAAATGGATTAACGGAGTTGTCTCTCTTGAATGAAACCAAGCACTTGATAGCTGGTCAAGGTTGTTTATACTAGAAATCCAATTAAACATATTCCTAAAATTCTCAATAATTTCTGGTCATACTATATATGCATGCTTAGTATTTTAGACAAATATATGGTGTATTGTGTACCAGTACATTAGTATACTGGCGTGAGTTTATTCGAACAGTAGGGTATTTTATACCACCATGATGCTGTAATTTGTACCATGCATATGTGGTATGTATATGTATTAGCTATTTCATGACTGGCATGATACAGTAATGTGTATCATGCATGTTTATTATAAGGTTTAGTTTCTACATGCATATTTATGTATTTATTAGGGTAAATAACAATTTATGTGTACGCTAATGCCATTTATGATGTATGTCTGTATATACTAGCAGTATACTTAGGCAATATTTTGTTTATTTAGGTTCACTGAGAATCGGATGTTTTATTAGCTGTTGGCCTATTCTGCCTGCGTCCCCGAGACGAGGTGAGGTATTGTTTTCATAATGTGATTGTAAATATTAGTAATTATAGTTGTTATATATGTGAGTAATAATCAGAGCACATGTCTTTGCTTAAATCTGGATGATTGACAGTTATCAGATGTATTACTAGTATAGTGGTAACCATATTGAACGTATAACACGATACGTATTTCATTACAAGAGACATGTATTAATTGATGGATATTTTATTATTCAGGGCGTTTTGTTATAGTTCAGCCAACTAGGGATCTCCATATCCCACGTTACCAGCGCCGGAATAAATCCCTGAAAACCTACGCAAGTGTTCGTCTTCATTGAACCACCATATACGAATACCTCTGTTACATAGACTATCGGTGTTCAGCACTCTAGACTGTTGATACACACTAGACTATATGTATGCTGTATTTGTACAAGCTAGAATCGAGTTCAAAGTGTTATCCCTGATCTACAGCTGTTACCATGATGTTGCACCAGGATATCTGAAAGAACTTCTCCAGAAATATACTTCACGCAAAAACCTGAGATCCAATGATCAACTTTTATTTACCATCCCCAGGACCAATCTCAAATCGTTCGGCCAGAGATCATTCTCATTCTGTGCTCCTTCTCTCGCAGGTATCAAGGATAGTACTTGGAGAAGAGATGGGTTTTAAGTTTGGACTTGAAGACAGCTAAAGATGGGGAGGTTTTGATATCAAAGTCTTCCTTTTGATATCAAAACCTCCCCATCTTTAGCTGTCTTCAAGTCCAAACTTAAAACCCATCTCTTCTCCAAGTACTATCCTTGATACCTGCGCTTTGAGCAACCACAACGGATGGAAAATAGCGCAATATAAATGCACTTATTAATATTATTATTATTTGTCAACTCCAGTTTTTAAGTGTATGTTACCTTTTGCCCTGTAGTTTAGTTTCCATGGAAACCGTACGTTTACATCGTATCCATTCTGAACATGCGCAAAACATTACCTGGATCTTAGAAAACGACAGACATATCCATTACTGCTTTGTCGGTTGGATTAAGACGATAAGGCAAACTACACACCATGCGATCGAAATACAGCTCAGCGGTGCAAGTAAAACTGATTGAACACGTCATTATTCACCTTATTATAAACATTACGTGTTAAATAAATTGCATGCTTCAATGTTCTATTGAAGAGCACAGGTATGGCACTGACAGGAACTGTATTGCAGTCAGGGCGAACATGACTTAGGCATCGACTTGTGGCGCCTTACACCACCCTGCACTCAATGCAAGATGAAACGGCATAATCTAAC